TGGACAGTGCAGAGTGGAGGGTGGACAGTACAGAGTGGACAGTGCAGAGTGGAGGGTGGACAGTGGAGGGTGGACAGTCTAGGAGCAGACGCCTTTAGTTATCTCTTCAGTGTCCCTTCTACTGCCAGACAGTCAAATTGACCCAGTCAGTAATCATGACCGAGGGTGTGAAATCTAAAGGGCTGCAGACCTGAGTTATAACCCAGACATTTAGCGAGCCTTTCCAGGTGGTGAGCTGGTGTGAGTTCCAGAAAACATCACTGTAGGTCAGACTTACCTACCCAAAGATTATACTTTCAGGATGGTTGGAGTCAGCGTAAGAACCAGGCTTTTTGTTTGGTATTACATTTATTAAATTTACTAAAATTTAATATTTACTGAAATTTTAAGTTAAAAATATGAGTGTTTATTGTTTAAATCTTTCTTTTTAGCTTTGGCTTCAGTGACAAAGTCACCATGAATGGTCATGTCCCAGTTGGATTGTATGGGAACGGCTTCAAGTCAGGTTCTATGCGATTGGGCAAAGATGCAATAGTTTTTACCAAAAATGGAGAAACCATGAGTGTGGGCTTCTTGTCTCAGACCTACCTGGAAGCCATAAAAGCAGAACATGTTGTTGTTCCAATTGTGACATTCAACAAACACCATATCCTTTTGATTTTGGAGTGAATGCTGTGGAGAAACGTAAAAAAAAAAAAAAAAAAAAAAAAATGGAGCACTCTTTTTCATCTTTCTCAATTCTTGTCTTGTCCTGTGTTCTCTTGTTTTAGAAAGGGTTCCTTCGTGTTATTCAGGCTTGCCTTTGTCCCATCCAACCAAGAGCTAGGTTTAAGAGCATACAGCTCTTAAAATTATTTTATGTGTATAGTGTTTTGTCTGCATTATACACAAATGCACATATACCATGTGCATTTGTGGTATCTCAGATGTCAGAAAAGGGTGTTGATTCCCCTAGGACTACACACATGTGCCATGGTGTTTATTTGGAGGTCAACTTTTAGGAGTCCTCTTCTCTACCAGGGATTGAACTCAGGGCTTTGGGCTGGCAGTTTTGTTTTTGTTTGTTTGTCTGTTGATTGGTTGGTTTTAAACCTGCAGAGCTATGTTGCCAGCCATTTTGGTACAATGGAGCACAAAAGTTCCAATTTCTTCCCATCCTTGACAATCTGTATTTGCTTTTTCTTTTTGAGATATAGTCTCACTATATAGCCCTACAGCCTCATCTGGCCTGGAAGTTGCTGCCTAGACCAAGATGGCCCCTGGCTCACAGAGATCCTTTGCCTCCAAGCAGTGGAATTAAAGGTGTGCACCACCACAACTAGCTTCCCTTGGCTCTGAGCTGCCATGTGGGTGCTAGGAATCGAACCCCATCTACAAGAGCAACAAGTGCTCTAACTCTCTAGCCCCCAAATTATTATTTTTTTAATGATATATATTCCAATTCTTGTCTGTATATATACTTCCTTTACCCTGTACCTACAGTTTGGGGTTAGTCTTTTCTTTACTGGAAATCTGCTGTGGAAATCCTTAGCATAATATGGTTATGGTTGTAGTTATTTGATTGCTTTGTTTGTTTGAGAAGGTCTCACTGTGTAACCCTGTCTGGTCTTGAACTCACAGAGATTGCTTGCCTCTGCCTCCTGAGTGCTGGGAATTACAGGTGCCACAACACCCAGATGAGTTACTTTTTCCAGGGCTGGAGATAGAGTTCACCATAGATGCAATGGGTTCAGGGATAGCCTCATACTGACCATTGGACACCAGACTCAGACTGATGTTGATGAAAGTTTGTTGAATACTGAACAAAAACTGACTGGTCAGGCCCATCCATAATCTGGACTGGAGAGCCAGACTGTGATGTTGGTCTGCTTCTAAGTTTTTTTTTTTTTAAATACAAAAAAACCATAACTAGGTAACAACTAGGTAACAAAAATGTAACCAGCTGTAGGAAACAAACTGCAATTAGGTAACAAAACCACAACCACGGTATCCAGGTATAAGAAGCAACATTATATCATTTTGACTAGCTAGACAAAGTGTTTCAACTTGTTTGGTTCTACAGTTGGGGTACTTCATAGAATGTCCAAAATTTGAGAAATATACAAAGTAAACAAAGTTTGAGAAGTGAAACTATAAAGGCATAATAAAAATGGAGACTTGAGAGGCAAAATGGCTTCTGATATGCTAAAGGCTACAGCAGGTGTTAACAGAGGAGCCACAGTTATGCCAAGAACTAAAGCAGGTCTCTACAGAGGGGCTATAGAGTTTAAGCAGGTTACAATCGAGTACTGGTCTGCAATGTATGAGGACCTGGGTTCGATCTACAGCAGCACAAAATGGCAAACTTACTCCATAGCTCTCCTTTTTCTTAGACATGGTTTCAGTGTGTAATGGAATATGGAAGGCCCCAGCCTCTTATGCAGCAGCAATTACAAGCATGACCCACTTTGCTTACTTTATAGTTCCTTATTTCAAGCATATTGTGGATTAATAAAAACGACTATGTTGGCCTGTTTTGACTGTAGAAACTCATTGACAAAAGCACTGAGTTGGAAATGATGCATCTGCCATCTTTCCTCCCTCATACAGCTTGAGTAGGGTTGCCTTGAACTCATGGTCCTGCTCCCCCAGCTGGCATGTGCATGTATTCCTCTGACCACTGTGACATGCTCAGTTCTCATCTTCCCTTGTGTTCATTGGAAATCACATTGTTGCTTTAAGATTTCAAAATAACTTAGGGATTGATTTTTGCTGAGTTTCTTAAAGTTGCTTTCTATATTATAATTGTGTAAAATTTGTTGTTGATTGCAATCTTTAACTAAGGACATACGACAGATGATTAATTTAGCAGAATCAAAAGCAAGCCTAGCAGCGATTCTGGAACATTCTCTGTTTTCTACGGAACAGAAATTGCTGGCAGAACTCGATGCTATCATGGGGAAGAAAGGGACAAGGATCATCATTTGGAATCTTCGAAGGTAAACATAGACCTTTGTTGGGCAGTGAAGTTCATGTACAGGGTTGGTTGCATTGTGTTTAAGCCTTTTTAAACAGAGTAGAAATGCATGGAATGAAAAAAGCATTTATTGACGTACTTTGTGGTTTGTCTTTTCCAAGATATTTTATTGAGCCCACTTTGGCTTCAAAGAGTTATTTGCAAACTGCTCTAAAATCTTGGTCCTGTCATTCAGTTTTTCCAGTATATTAGTCCATTCCTAGGTCACCCCCCCACACCACCCCCCAAAAAAACACTATCCAAAAAAGAGAAAGAGAAAAAAAAAAGAATACTTGCTAGTCTAGTTTGTAGAATTTAGATCTAATGAGCTAGCAGCCCAGTAAGTAATATAGGTGAAAATTTTGCCTTGCTAAAATTTTAGTAGTTGAATTTATGAGATAACTCAGTGGGTTAAAGGAAAGCTTGTAGCCAAGCCTGACAGTGTGAGTTCAGTCCCTCAGCTCCATGTGGAAGATGAGAATGAAGTTCCCAAAACTGTTCTCAAATTTGCACAAACACACTCTCTCTCACTCACACACACATACCCTTTCTCTCTCTCTCAGTAAATAAGTAAATATTAGTAATTGTGAGAAGCCTACAATGCACTGAAGCATAAATAAAGCACCAATGGCATTAAACTTAAAGCGTTTATGATTTGTTTTTTTGGTGTACTGAATCCCTCTTTTCTTTGGTTTGCATTCATCTTCTTGTCAGTCCTGGTAATTTCTCAGTGAAGCTGTTCTTTTTTTTTCTTTTTTGCAGTAACTAGTAATTCATGTGCCCCTGGCTGTCGTGTCCCCTTTATCAGGTATCTTAAGTGTTAACAGTGGCAGGTTCCGCCCTTGCTGCAGTAAACTGCAGGATGCTTGGCTCAGCACAGTGTGTGGTGGGCCACACTTGCTTCCTCTGTGCTGTGCGTCTCCAGTCCCTGGTATGACCTTGACCTTTGCTTGGTCTTAGGGTTTCAAGAAGTTACATAAAAGGTAATTCTAGGTGTGAAACTCTTGGGATTCCTGCAGGTGTTTCCAGCTCTGAGCATGTGTCAGTAAAGCAGTTTGCTGCTTTTCACACCTCCATCCGTTCCCTTGCGAGTCCAGATCCACTTGTTTTGGGCTGACACTGTGCTGGCAGTGTGGCGTACGCCTGTAGATTAATCCAGCAGATGTGAGATCTCTGAGCTCAAGGCCAGCCTGCTCTACAGAGTGAGTCCAGGACAGCCAGGGCTACACAGAGAAACCCTGTCTTGAGAAACAAAAGGAAATGAAAGGCACTGCTGAAGACATGGCTGCAGGCATTTAGGTCACATGGTAGCTGTATTGCCAGGCTCCAGGAGCCTGCCAGTCTCTGCAGAGCACTGTACCACTTTAGGATGCAGTTGGCATGGATGTGGGTTTCCAGACTCTACCTGGGCCTTGTCTTTGTCTTTGAGTGTTTCATAGTTGCCTCCTGATCCCAGCTGGCTGTTTGCTTATTTATTTCCTTACCATTTTGTATTTGCTTGTTTTTCTTGATGTAGAGTTAAATTTTCTTCTCCTTTCTTTCTTCCTTTCTCTTTTTCTTTCTTCCTATTTCTTTCTTTGTTTCTTTTAATATCTGTCTTTATTTTTTCTTTTTTTCTAATTTTTTTATTGATAATTTTGCTTCTTTCTATATTTTTTCTTACAGTTACAAAAATGCAACAGAATTTGATTTTGATAAGGATAAATACGACATCAGAATTCCTGAGGATTTGGATGACATTGCAGGGAAGAAAGGGTATAAGAAACAAGAAAGAATGGACCAAATTGCCCCTGAGAGTGACTACTCCTTAAGGGTATGTACCCAGCGTTGTTGGAAATGAGCAACCAGCACGCCCTGGAGCAGGCGTGGGCGGCACAGCCTCCAGAGGTTCCCGACTGCACGAGCGTTAGACACGAGGCAGCCGCTGAGCTACTTATTGGTGTACTGGTTGTTACTTTTGCTGAGAAAACCATAGTGGGTGGTCGGGGGTCGGTAACAGCTTAGTCGGCATAATGCTTGCTTAGCATGCACAAGGCCCTGGGTTCAATCCTTAGAAACACATAAACTGGGCACGGTGGTACATGCCTGTAACCCTAGAATGGAATGGGGAGGTGAGGAAGTCACAGAGCGTCAGGATTTTAAGGTCACCCTTCCCTACCTAGAGAGTTGGGGGTCAGCCTGGGTTACACAAGGCCCAGTCTGAGAGAGCAGAGAGGGGGAACCTTGTTTTACTTTTCAGACATGAGTTCTCACAGTGCTTTCGATTTTCGAATCTGCACTCAGTTTATTTGAATTGATCATAAGTGCATTTTGTGGTGACCGTGCTGATCAGTTCAAGTCACAAAATACCAAATTGAGTGTTTCAAAATTATCATGTTGTAGTATATATACCTAATATACTTTGATTTGTCTTGTAAAGCAATAAATTATTGACTAGCTAATATACAGTAATAATATTTTGTAAGTATCTCTTGATTTAGAAATAGATTGTGTTATCAGATAAGATCTGTTATTTTTCTCTGTGACAAATCCCCAACAAAAGCAATTTAACAAGGGCAGGTTTATTTTGGCTCACAGTTCTAAGGAAGGTGTGGTAGGGACAAATGTATACAATTTCTTATCATATCCAATTACTGGGATATGTCATTGCTATTAAAGTCATCTGCTTAAGTGTAAAACAGGCCCACACCAATGAGAGTACACAGTTGTGGTACCAGCGCAGTGCAGTGTTCCAGAGACCATGAGTGAGTTTTAGAAAGACATCACACCTTGAAATCAGGAGCCAGGGGAAAAGAAGTCAAAGTTCAGATTTTAGTTTCCTATTGAGTCTTTCATCCATCTGAAGTATTTAACACACTTCATTCGGAGATTTGTCACAGTGAAGGGGAGACAGAAGAACGTGTTTTAGTGTATAGTGCTCCATTCATTTTCTGAAGTTATCTTTCTGTTTTTCTGTGCTAAGGTCTTCCTGTGTAGCCTAGACTGGCCTGATACCTGTCTTCCCGTCTCAGCTTTCTAACTGTGGGATCACAGGCATGTGCCCCTGTGCCAAGCCAAGTTGTCCTGTGTTGAATGAAGACAAGCTGGGCACGGTGCCCCACAGCTGTCTTTTCAGCACTCTGAAGTCCAGGCGAGAGGTTACTCTCAGTCTGAAGCTAGCCTGCCTGCAGAGTGAGACCCTGTTTCAAAAATACCCCCCCCCAAAAAAAAGAGAGAGAGAGAGAGAGAGAAAAGACATGAAGACATCTTTTGAGCCGGGTGTTCTAGCAATCCTGTGACCCAACACTTGAGAGGTATGGAGGCTGAATGTGAGGGACAAGGCCCTTCACAACCGTGAAAACCAGGGTTTTCAAAACCGTCCACCTTATAGCAAGCTCCTCTTTGAATTTGAGATTGCCTCTTAGTTTTTGCCCAACAGCTTGCTTTAGTTTGTGTCTTTTTGAATTATAATGCCAAAAGGTTGGAAAAATGTCCTATTGATTTGCAGATTTTTTTCTCATTTATCATTTTATTTGTTGTTGTTGTTTTTTTTTTTTTAACTTTAAAAACATTCTGCTGGCTGTGGTGGCACACGCCTGTAATCCCAGCATTCAGGGAGGCAGAGGCAGGTGGAGTTTGAGGCCAGTCTGGTCTACAAAACCTCTGTGTTGAGTTTTAGGTGAATTATGCTGTATTGAGACTCTACATCAATTTTTTAAAATAATTATTTTTAAAAAATAATTTTGTGTTGCTTTTGATAGTTGAGTGTGAGTCCAGGGCCTCATACCATGTTTACCTCTGAACTATGCCCCCACCTCCATAGTCTGAGGAACTAAAGTGTTTGTACCTTCTCTTTAAATTTATATCTGAGTAATGTTGAACAAATCTGTGAATAGTTCTTTGGAAAGGACAGAGTTTGCTATGTTTCTTTGCAGGCTTACTGCAGTATTCTATACCTTAAGCCAAGAATGCAGATCATCCTACGTGGACAGAAAGTGAAGACACAGCTAGTTTCAAAGAGTCTTGCCTACATCGAGCGTGATGTTTACCGACCTAAGTTTTTAGTATCCTTTATTTTTAATTCTGTATAAACGTAGGGCATATTCTGTATCATTTGCTCTTTCCCTTTTTATCCCTGTATTTTTTAAAATCGTGTGTGTGTGTGTGTGTGTGTGTGTGTGTGTGTGTGTGTGTGTGTAGGTCAGAGGACAACTTGTGGTAGTCGGTTCTCCTTTCACCCTCTGAGTCCAGGAATTAAACTCAGCTGTTCAGCTTCATGCTTAGTGGCATCTTTACCTTCTGGCCATCTTGTCAGCCCTCCCTCAGAAGAATTCAGTCTCCAGATTTCTTTCTACATGTACTTTGTGGTGATTCTGGACACTGGCTGATGCCAAGTTCTTTTTAAAGGACTTATTCATTTTTATGTTATGTATCTGAGTGTTTTGCCTGAATGTGTGTGTGCCAAGGAGGGCAGTAGAGTGTGTTGGTCCCTTGAGGCTGAAGTGGTTGTAAGCCGCCCCGTAGATCCGAGGGTCAAACTGTGTCCTGTAGGAGACCATCATCTGTCTAGCCCTTGTGTATTGGGACTTACTCATGATAGAGAAAGGGTCACTAGAAGAGAATGAACTGTTGTGTTCAGAATTTTTCTTAATATTTTTAAGACTAGAACAGTGAGAATTACCTTTGGATTCAACTGCAGAAATAAAGATCACTATGGAATAATGATGTATCACAGAAATAGACTCATCAAGGCTTATGAAAAAGTGGGATGTCAGTTAAAGGTAAGATTTTTATTAGAAAATGTTTTCAACAGAAGAAAAGTATATTAGGTCACAGGTAATTTTACAGTATTCTCTTGCTCATGCCCTCTTAGGTGTCAGTGTTTTCTGGAGATGGGAGGGGGTATGTGTGTTTTGAGATGGTGCCTGTCTATGTAGCCCTGACTACCCTGGAACTCACTGTGTTGACCCGCTGGCCTCTGTCTCCCAGATGCTGGGATTGAAGGTGTGTGCCACCACACCTTTTTAAAAGTGCATTGGTGTTTTGCCTGCATGTATGTCTGTGTAACAGTGTCAGTTCTGGAGTTACAGCCAGTTGAGACTGCTATGTGGGTGCTGGAAATTGAACCCAGGTCCTCTGGAAGAGCAGCCAGTGCTTTTAACACCAAGGCTTGGTGTCAGTCTTGTAAAAGCAGCTAGCATGGCATTTGTCTGCATTCATTTTTTATTTGCATTCCATTAATCTGTCATCCTACAAAAGGAGAGAGAGATTTTTTTTTTAACTTATAGATGTGGAAATTTTGACTACTAAGTGTATACAGTTTGCCAGAGACTTAATAGTCAGTGTGGTTCTCAGGCACAGAAATGGGTCTCTGGCTAAGTTGAGTGGAGGTAAGTTTTGTGGTGGTTGTCTTGTCTGTCTTGTGACCATCTCACTGCATAGCTCAGGCTGGTCTCAGTCTTCTCTTGCCTCAGCCTCTGTGCTACCTTCTGTAACACATGGGATGCATTTGGATGTTGATCACTTGATCATTTCTTACTGGAATGAAATTGATTGGAGTGTATTTGTTGTTCTAACTTGGCTGTTTTTATTGCGTATGGAACTAGCCTGAAAAACAGTAGCTGATGACAGCTGCCCTCCTCCCACCTGAGGCCTCAGGTCAACAGGCTTGGTAACAGGAGCCTGTTCCTTGAGCTGTTTTTCTGGCCCTAGAATTACTGCCCTTGGAAGTAACTTTCATTGTTATAATATTGAGTTTAGTTATTTATTTAGTCATAGTCCACCATAATGTTTTTTCTGTATACATTAGAGTTCCTGTGTTTTCTAGGTATTGGGTGACAATTATGAGAATAAATCGTCTTGATAAAAGTTTTGTTGTTTGACTTAAATATGAAACACTTAAAGGGCTCCCATGTCACCCATGCTCAGGGGCTATGTTAATCTGTGTACTCTTCTAATTTTAGTATCTGCTGCCAAAATGAGTGGGTGTTAAAAAGTTTAAGGCTAGGTGTGCTTTCTTTGTTTCTCTCTCTTTTTTTCCTCAAGTGTTTTAGTTCTGCACAGCACGGCAGTGTGGATTTGTTTAGACTGCTGTTTAGGCAGAAGACTCAAACTGCAGCTGCAAGTGTCTGTTGTTACATTGGTTTAACAGTGGCAGGACGGGGCTGCTGGTTCTGTGCAGCAGGACCGCTCAGGTTAGGTGGCGTCTGTGAAAGCAAACACAGCACAGTAGATGTGGTCCTTCCCCTTGTGTCAGTTTGAGCATAATTCCCACCTAAATGGATACCAGCCAGTTATGGCTTTGGAAGAAAACTCTTAACATATAGGAATTAACTTACAAAAAAACCTAAGCACTTAACCAGGAAATTTCAAGGGAGTCATATAAGATAAAGTATAAGAAAGTAGTTTATGATGTAAATCTTCGTTGATAGGTAGAGTGAGCATCATGTGTTATGTCTAAAATGCTGTTTCATTATGTTTCAGGCAAATAACATGGGTGTTGGAGTGGTTGGAATTATAGAATGTAATTTCCTTAAGCCAACTCATAACAAGCAAGACTTTGACTACACTAATGAGTACAGGTATGTTGCTCCTTTACATTATTGATGTTCTGAGGAAGCGGGTTAAGAAGATGGCTGGAATATTCAGGCCTCCGCCCCTTTAGCCGGAGGATGTATTTGAGATGGGTTCTTGTGGCGCGCACACGGGCTTTGAACACAGCTCTGGGAGGAGGCCTGCTCAGCAGAGGCAGTGCAGCTCCCGGGGGGAGAGGGGGGTTTCTCCAGCTGAGCTGAGGAGCTCCGGAGCCTCAGCCCCATTCCTTTTTGGCTTCTCTTCGTGGCTTCTTCCAGTGAGACAGTCACCCAGACAGCAAGTCTCTTATAAAAGGGATTTATTGGAGGGTCCAGGGTGTGGAGGGATGAATCCAGGAGTAGGTGCCTCTGCTCCTGGGAGAAGGCAGCAGAGAGCTGAGCAAACACAGCCTTTGTTTAGGATTTCTTAGGGGGTGACACTTTCTAGGGTGAGGATTGGTGGGATTTCAAGTTCTGAGCTTGGGGAGCTCAAGGGTTGGAGGGGTTTTGTTCAGACTTTTCTGAAAGATTATTACAAAATTATTATAATCTGAGAAGGGGCCTACTGAGGGGCAGGAGATGGCCTTTGTGACAGTTATAGAGGCTGGAAATGCCGTTATTATGACAGAGAGGGGTGGGGAAGGAGCCGATTGATTTATGCCTCAAGGGGTTTATATAGACTTGAACTCTGAGCTGAGGAAACAACTTCCTTCACATAATCTGTGAATTTACACTGAGGGGCCAGATGCCTGGTCCTGGTCCCTGGCTGGCAGTGTCATGGAGCTCCTTGCCTCAGAGGAATGGCTAGTTTAGACGCTGTTGCCATACAGGTGGCGATAGAGCTCACAGACTAGCGCCAGTTAAACAGGCTGAGTTCCTGAGTTCCTCCCTCCTGAGTTCCCTGTCGGCAGCAGCTGTAACTGAGGTCTCAGGTGCTGCTGCTTCTCTGTGGCTTCAGCTTCTCAGTTTCTTCAGGAGTCTGATCTCAGGGCCCTGCACTGTGGAGATTTAGCCTCAGCCACTCTGGAGTCCTGAGGTGCTGCCGCCCGGTAGTATAGAGAGCCCAGCAGCACAGCCCGAAAATCCAAGCACCCATTTCAGGGACCACAGGGGTTGGCTCCCAGGGGAGTTGAAGCAGGGACCGGGGAAAGATGTAGGGGAGCCCAGAGGTAAAACTTGAAGTGGCCCTGCCTCCCTTCTGAAGCTCCTCATCAGGGGCCAGGGGACTTTCCTGGGAAGTATACAATACAAGGGTTACAAAGTTTACAAAGGAGTCTATGCTACTTGAGTTGGCAGGAATAGCCAACAGCTATACTGCAAAATCCTCTATCGTTAAAAAAAAAAAAAAAATCCTCAACACACTTCAAAAGTCTAAAGTCTTCTGAGAGTCAAGACATTCTCTTTATCTGTAAGCCCTGTAAAATAAAAAAGCATATTGTATACTTCCACAGAATGGAGCAAAATATACATTATTATTCCAAAAGCAAGGGGCAAGGGCACAACGAAGAAATACTGGACCAAAATCCATCAAGGCAGGCTCCAAATTGTATTTATATCTGATGTCAAAAAGCTTAGACAGGTCTGCTCTGTCTGTTTGTCTGTCTGAGATAGAATCTTATTATATAGCTCTGGTTGGCCTGGAACTTGCCATGCAGAATGGCCTCTGCCTCCTGAGTGCTGGAATCTAAGGTGTGTGCCACTATACTCAGCATCCACTAATGAGTTTTTTGTTGTTGTTGTTGTTTTTTATGATTAATTTATTTATTATTTATACAGTACACGAAAAGAGGGCACCAGGTCTCACTATTGATGGTTATGAGCAACCATGTGGGTGCTGGGAATTGAACTCGGGACCTTTGGAAGAACCACCAGTGCTTTTAATCTCTGAGCCATCTCTCCAGCACCAGCACTTGTGAGGTTTTATTTTTTAAAAGAAACCTTTGTAACCATCAATTGAAGGGCATGCTAAGCAGAGAGAATTCATAAAATATATTAAAAATATTATTAAATTAATATTTTAATATTAATAATATTAGAAAGATATTAAATGGATGGGTTTCATTTCTAAATGTTAATTATGTATGTCTCCTCTAAGAGTGAGAATGAATGGGTATATTAGCTATTCACCGTTGTTGCTGAGGGAGTAGCTAGCTAGTAGATCCAGGAAAGTGAGCGAGAAGGACGAGTGGCTACAGGATAACAGTACTTACTGCACCAGCCTGGCAACCCCAGTGTGACCCCAGAGCCCAGTCACAGCTGGGAGGGACACCACTCCTCAGACTTCTCTGCTGCCTTGAGCATCTGTGTCCACTCACACAGCATGGTACATACATTAAAGTAAGTAATGTAAACATGGAAAGGCAGAAAAGAAGCCTAGGAGTGATTCTAGTACTAGGGAGGCAGAGGCAGGCAGGTCTCTGTGCGTTCAAGGCCAGCCTGGTCTACAGATCAAGTTCTAGGACAGCCAAGGCTACACAGAGAAACCCTGTCTCAAAAAACTAAAAAGGGGGGGGTTGAGGGAGGCGCTGGAAAGAAAAGTAACAAATAGCTGGGCTGGTGACTCACATCTATAGTTCTAGTAATATGGAGCTGAGGCAGGAGAGTTGCTATACCCCTTTGGTCTATAGTAAAGTGTGAGACCCTAGCTTAAAAAATTACTACTACTAAGGGGGAAAAATACCACCTTCATGGGGAGTCTGATCTGAAAATACAAAGATCTGTAAACTAAAGCATAAAGCATTGTGGAATGAAATTTAATAGGTAAGTAAATCACTTAATTTCTTGAAGCAGATGTGAGCTGGTGTCAGTACTTACTAGGTCTGTTTTATATTCTTACCAGAAAGTCAGCCAGAGCCACCTAAGAGAGTCCTGCAGAAGAAAGCAGGTGGACTAATTCTGCATGTTGATGCTTTGTTGTTGTTTTTCTCTTCATAGTATTTCTTTAATCATTGTTAGATTGCACGAAACCCATGGTAACTAGAAGTCTATGTTAGTGGAATTATAGACGCTCTAAAAGTCCATGACCTTTTACTCATCTCTTCATATGGTGTATTTCAGAGATCACGTGATAGTGTGCTAGGAAACGGTTGTCTCTCCAGAGCTGCTGCCTGTGGCAGTGCTAGAGCTGTACTGAAGGGCTCAAACTCGCTGGGGCGGGGCCTGGCTCTGCCGCTGACCACACTGTAGCCCAATTAGGCAGTCTGATACAGGACTAAAAACATATCAGTAGCACAGACAAAACTGAAACACCTCCAAAAGGCAAAGGACGTGGTAGGTGTTGGCAGAATGGAACAGGGCTGGTGTTCTTAAGTTACTGATAGCTTTGGAAATCATTGGCTATCTTCTGAAAGCCAGTAGTCCACTCAGTAAAGCTGTATATTAATGTATATATATCCTCTGACCTTGTTTCCACTCTGCCATATTCTTAGGAGAAGTGAATGTAGATGTATAGCTTGAGGTATGATGATAAAAAGATTAGAAAAGTCAAAAAAGTGTTAGACAGATGTGACCGGTTAGAAAGGAAGGTGAGTTGTCTTTTGGGTATCATTGTGTACATTTATAGGAGGACTTCTGGGATCAAAATAAAGCCTCAAGGAATTGAATTGGAATAAGTTTCATGGTGGTAGTTGTCTATAAAATTAACCTGCCAGACTTAAATATAAGATCCAGTTTTTGTTGTTGTTTGTTTTTCACTCACCTATTTATTGATTGATTGATTGATTGGTTTTTAAAGACAGGGTTTCTCTGTGTAGCCCTGGCTGCCCTGGAACTAGCTCTTTTGGCCAGGCTGACCTCCAATTCAGAGATCTGCCTGTCTCTGCCTTCCAGTGCTGGGATGAAAGGCATGTGCCATGTTGCCCAGCTGAAGAGCCAGTTTTTATAAAAGCTTTGTTTTAAATTCTGAATGTCACATTGACTTTAAAATCTGGTGTTGTCTGGGCATGGTTGTACAGCCTTTGGGAGGCAGAGATGGGCAAATCTCTGTGAGTTCAAGGCTAGCCTGGTCCACATTGTAAATTCCGAGACAGATGGGAATATGTGGAAATACCTGTCTCAGAAACTTAAAAAAAAAAAGCAGCAGCAGCATGTACAGCTGTGAAGCTGAGCGCTCATTAGCTGGGATTGAAATGCAGGGACCTCTGCTCCTCTCAGGAACTGGTAGCCTATGCGTCAGTAGAGGGCCTGGTAGCCTGCTCCTCTTCTGCTTGCTTTATACGTAGCAGACAAGTACACTGTAGCTGAGCTTCCCCTCCAGGGCACCCCATCCCGTCTTCTTCTCCCTTTGTGTTCCCCTGCTTTCCTCCTAGATGATCAAGGGACTTACTATGGTCGACACTGAAAGAAAATGAGCATCTGTGAATGTTATTTATTAGCCATACTGTTAGAATTTTTCCTTTCTACTCACAATATTCTTTTTGGTTTTTTGAGACAGGGTTTTCCTGTGTAGCCCTGGCTGTCTTGGACTTGCTTTATAGACTGGGCTGGCCTCGAACTCACAAGATCTATCTGCCTCCGCCTCCCAAGTACTGGGATCACAGATATGCGCCACCACGCCTGGCTCACAATATCCTAACAATCATTACTGAATAATTTTTTGTTATATGTTTACTTTTTAAAATTGATCTTGAATTGATTTTTTTCTTGAATTAATGTTATGATTTTTTTTTTAAATTTTTTTTTTTAAGGCTTACAATACTAGCATTAGGAGAGAAGCTGAATGATTACTGGAATGAAATGAAAGTGAAAAAAAATTCAGAATACCCTCTAAGTTTGCCTGTTGAAGACATACAGTAAGTACTGAGTGCTGAGTACTAAGTACCGCATACTGAGTCCTGAGGGACTCTTAGAGATGGTGGCACTGCTGTGGCCTTTCACAGATTCAGGGCTCATACTAAAGGTGAATCCATACTCTCCAAGTTAATGAGCTGTTATCTGTTGATATTGTTTATTTCATCTTTTAAAACATTTTTATGTATATTTAATTTTATTTGCCTGCGTGTGTGTGTTGTGTACCATGTATGCCTAGTGCTGACAGAGACTAAAAGAGGGTGTTGGATGCCCTGGATCTGGAGAGATTGCCCAGTGGCTAAGAGCTGTTTCAGAGGACTCAGCTTCTAGTCTACTCCCAGCACCACCTGGTGCCTCAACAACTGTCTAACTCCAGTGCCAGGAATCCTATAGCCTCTTGTGGCATCCTAGGTATCAGCTAATCGCATGCTGCACAGACATACAAGCAAAACTCTTATACACAAAATGAAACAATAAAGTAAATGAAAAGAAAAGGACTGGGCAGTATGAGGCCTGGCACGTGCTCATTAGTGCATGTAGCGCACACCAGCAGTCTGTAGATGAACATGGCGCTGTGTCGCACCTTCATAGCCACAAAACTGCAGGTATTGGCAAGCTAATTAGTTGACAAAGTTAGTTTAGTGATCTTAGGAAAGCAGGGTTGTTAGCTTAGTTTTACTTGTTACTTTGTAAACACTGAGGTCATTTGAAAAGTTTTATGTTGTTAAGGCCTTGTTCACACAGAACACTCATCTGGGCCCTCTGCTGGGAAAGCACGCCGCTGAAGTCTAGGCCAGCTCTTGTTTTGTGTGGTTTGCAGCAAGGACTTACCAAGTCTACTCTGCCTTTGAACTTGGGCTCCTCTGCCTTTGCCTCCCCAGTGCTGGGATCAAAGAAAGCATGTGCCCCAGGCTTTGAATGCTCATACCCCACTGTTAAAAACTGCACTGAAAAGTTACTGGAGAGGAAATAGACACACAGCTCAGTCAATAACGTGCTTGCTGGCAAGGATGAGGCTCTGCATTGATGCTAGAACCCAGGTGACCTAGCTGGACCTGGGGTCCTGCATGTGTAATTCCTGTAGGGCTTTGTAGCTGGTTAGTTAGCCCTGCCTATGTGGTGAGTTCCTGGCCAGCGAGAGAACCTGCCTCAAAAAAGACAAGTGTGCAGTGTGCTAAAGAGAGACACTGCAGGTTGACCTCTGGCCTACACAAGCACATGTACACATGTCAGCAAGCATGCCAGCAAACATATACAGACAAAAGTTACTGGTGACTCAGGTGTGTGATCCTGCATTCAGCAGCCTGCCACTGGAGGATGAAGAATTTGAGGCTATCTGCATTCTGTTTCAGTGTTCAGGAGGCTGAGGTAGGTGGCTCTCTTAAGTTGGAGGCCAGCCTAGTCTGCCTAACGAGTGCCTGACTCAAAAGACCATATAAAGAAGGGGGAAAAGTGTGATGTCAGTCTAGAGTTGAAACACTGTCTCAAAGAGAAAACCTTATATAAAATGAGTCTTCATAATTGCTTTTTGAAAATATTTCTTACTTAAGTATTTGGGTGTATTGCTTGTATGTCTGTCTGTCTACCCCATGAGTGTCTGGTGTCCACCTGGCTGTTGGATCCCCTGGAACTGGAGGTACCGAGGTTGTGAGTTGTCAAGTGTGTGTTGGGACTACCTGGCTCCTTTAGAAAGCACACATGCTCTTATCCAATGCATTCTTTCTCTAGCTAGCTATATATAATTTCTTCCTAAGACAGTCTCTCTCCCTCTCCCACTCTCCACCTCTTAATTTTTGAGACAGGGCTTCCCTTGTAGCCATGGCTGACCAGGAACTTTCTTTCTCTGTAGACTTGGTTGGCCTCAAACTCAGATCCACCCACCTCTGTCCTACAAGTACTGGGGTTAAAAGATTGTACCACTACCAACCACCGCCCCTTTTAAAGGCCGGGTCTCACTATACCCCTGAGTAGCCTGGAGCTTACAGACACCCTTCTGCCTTCCAAGTGCTAGGATTAAAGAAGATACTTAAATTGTTCATTCAAATTGGTATGTGACCATAACCTCTTGAAAGTTGCCAACATTTAAAAAGTTAATTTTACATACAGTCAATGCAGTTCAGTCACACAGGTTTCAGGATTGGAAATAAGCAGATACTTAGTGTGGAAACAACTTAGAAAATAAATGAAATACTGAAGAGTTGCTAATTCCTGCTTTAATATTTGTTCTTGTTTCGTTGAAGGAAGCGTCCTGATCAGACGTGGGTTCAGTGTGATGCTTGTCTAAAGTGGCGAAAGTTACCAGATGGGATAGATCAGCTTCCAGAAAAATGGTATTGCTCCAATAACCCTGACCCACAGTTCAGGTACCATATAGTTGGTAGTGCCCTTTCTGGAAAGGCAGAAAGTACTGTTGGAGGTGACTGAACAGAACTGGTGATGTGTTATTCCCATGTGATCTTTTTTCTGTCTAGAAATTGTGAAGTTCCAGAAGAACCTGAAGATGAGGATTTGGTACATCCCACCTATGAAAAAACCTACAAGAAGACGTGAGTGTTGAGTGTGAGTCTGGTGACAAACGGTGCCCAGACCAGGAGCAATAATTTGCCTGCAGTTGTCCCCGTTTCCACCAGCACAGCTGTGACTGCAGGTGCAGTGAGCACAGCAGCGAGTGTTGCTTCTGTTTCCACGTGTGCTGTGGGGACTGAGGTTTAGTGCCCTGCATTCACACATTTCACCGAAGGATTCGGCCTTTTGAGCCACAGATGAGCTGTACACAAACAGTCCTGTAGGAGCTTATATCTTGACAGAAACGGTGACGCGTGCTAACCATGAGTTGATGGGCCTGGACTCAGGTGACCCACATTTGACTCCTCACACCCGAGTGGTGCTCACAGCCACCTGAAATGACAGTCTTAGAGGACCCAGCACCCTCTTCTGGCCTCCTTGGGCATTGCACATCCGTGTACAAGCATGCATGCAGGCAGAACAACTAAAACAATGGGTGGAGTCTGCTCTGTGTTGGAGCTCAGAGGGGAGATTGCTTCTGGTGGCGCAGGGGAGGCAGGATGGCTCAGGAAGGTTTGTAAAGGAGGTCTCCACTGCAGCCATCATCAACAGAGTGACTGCAGGGAGCTAAGGAGGCTGAGGGGAAGGAGGTGGGAGGCAGGCCCAGCAGCAGGAAGTCAGGATGGTCTCGCAGCTCTGGCTTACTGGCAACCAGGTGCCATATAGCTTTCATAGAACAAAGACGACTAATGATTTCCTAAGAAGTACAGAGTCTTTGATTTTTTGTTACATGTCCAGTGTTACAAGTTCAGTCACAATTAGAAAATACAAACAGAATAAATTTTATTTTTATTATTAGCCTTATAATTCCAATTTAAAGAATGTAAAAAAAGATCTCAAAAAAAAAAAAAAGCCACATTTAATATATGATAGCCTGCTTTTAGGCTGGCAGTGTTCCCAGTGTGAAAGCACTCCAGACAAATAGAAATATCTGCACTGTTTTTTTCATGGAGAACAAATACTGATACCTAACTTCTTTTACTATATTGTTTCATCATATGTGCTATAAAGTTGAAGGTTATTTTATTCAGTCTATTTTATTTACTGAGTTCTATTCCTCCAGGGGTGACCCCCTATCTTGAAATTAAGGTTTCAGGGAGCTCTAAGCTTATTGTAAAAGGAAACCTTGAATCTTTAACCTGTTCTTCTCGGCAGTCAGTGTTTGTCAAGTGTTTCTGTTTACCCTGCATTAATTAGTTATACTGTTAGAGTTTGCTTAGGGCTGGGTACCCCAAGAAGATTCCTGGAGTAATAGCCTCAGAGGAATTTCTACCTATGTGCTTATCTGTGCTTAACGATCTCAAGGGCATAAGGAAGACTTCCAAATAGTGGCCAGTTAATTATTTTTAGGACCTTCCTAAAAAGCCTCAGATAGCATTTTCTCAGGAGAAGACATAAAATGAATCATAATGCAGAAAGTTCTTAAGCATGCAACATGCAGAGAACAAAGACCGAAAAGTAAGAGACAGAATGACAGCAATTGCAATATTTTGGCTCAGCTTTGCTGGAATTGTATCAAACAGCTGTGCTGGCTCCATGACTTTCGCCATTTCCAGTGGTTGTGGCTGTGCCAGAGGTCATGGCTATAATGTTTTCAGATTGTACAGGCATTTGTCCATCTGAAGTGGTGTGACAGGGCTAAACAGGAAATGGAGGCAGGATAGGGGAGCAGTAGGACTATTTTAATACCCAGAATGTAGAAGGCTAAGAACCTTTCCTGTGCCTTTGCCGTGTATTCCGTTTGTGTGTGTTACGTGTGTGTTTGTGTGTGGAGAGCATGGGTCACCCTCAGCTGTCTTTCTCATTTGTGCTCTTCTCTCACAGGTGGAGTGTGGCTATGTAGGCCTTGGCTATCCTCGAACTCACAGAAATCCTCCTGCCTCTGCCTCCCCCAAGTATTGGGACTAAAGGCACCCACCACTGCAGCAGGCTATCCCGTTTGAGGCAGGGTTTCTGACTGGAGTTCGTTAGAGAGCTGTGCTAGTCAGCCAGAGATCCTCCAGACCCACCTCGCCAGCACTGGGGTGAGGTGCATTGTCACACACAGCCGTCACTTGGGTATCTGAACTTGGCTCCTCACGTTTGCTCAGCAAGCACTCCACTTCCTGAGTCACAACCCCAGCCCTCTGTATATACCAGCGTTTCCTTAGTTTTAGCAGCAGCCTTGAAAGAATGAAACCTTTGCTGTCCTTGTTTATGAACTCATGCTCAGACATACATTTGGTGTTACGAAGATTTTTACTTACTTATATTTTTTTAATTAAAGGGAAAATGTGTGTGCAGGTACGGGGTTGTTAGTCTACTCTAAATGCTCACCAGTGATCACAGTGAAACTGAAGCTAAGCTAATTGAATAGCTCGGTAGTGAAATAATTATTTCATTTGAAAATAGGATTGTTAAATAGTAACAGTGTAAATATCAAGATGTTCATTTTCATCTTTCTTTTAAAGCAGCAAGGAGAAATACAGGATCAGACAACTGGAAATGATCCCTCAGGTAATGAATTCTTACATTTTATACCTGGCTTAATTTTTAAAGTACTTGGTTACTGATGCTCAATAGTAAAGTTCTAGACTTTTATTACCAGTGTAAAGGAATTTGTTGAATGTACCATTTTTTTTGTTTTGTTTTGCCCTCATTCTTGCTGTGTTCCCCAAGTCTTCCTCGCTTAACAGCTTAGATGGTTGAGTTAATATTGGGTGGGTGGGGCATTACTGGGGGAGGCAGCCTTTTAAGAATCGAGTGGGAAACTCACACTTGCTGAGATACACACGGTACATGTCTGTAGAGCACACAGCCGGAAGTGGGATGTGGCTATCACAGCCCTTCCCCCAAGGTTCAGGAAACACTAGGAAAAAGTGAGGTCCAGGAGGAATGGCATGGGCAGAGCAGCTGTGGCTGCCTCCACAGGGTCAAAGTAGCCAGCACTCCAGCCTGTAGCAGGGAACTGGAGTGACGGTTGGTGGCTTCTCAGGGAGGGTCAGGGTTCTTTATAAATTTCCTTTTATTTTAATGTGTATTGTATTGTTATTGGGTATGTCTGTGTGAGGGTCTCAAATCCCCTGGAACTGGAGTAATAGACAGTTGTGAGCTGCCATGTGGGTGCAGGGAGTTGAACCAGAGTCCTCTGGAAGAGCAAGCAGTGCTTTGAACTCTGAGCCACGGGCCACTTTTCTCTGAAGATATGGTTCCTATGTCAGATGTGCTCCAGTGAATGGCCCCGCCCATTTGTTTACGGGCAACTCCCTGTGCGAAACCCACCTATGTGCTTATTTGCACTAGGGAGGCTGACGTGGGGGGCTGACGTGGGGGGCTGAGGTGGGAGGCTGAGGTGGGGGCCAGCGTCCTGGGAGCTGTAGGTAGAGTGGGTGGGGCACTTGGGCTCAGTAATGTGTTGGGTAGGAAGTTCCATTCTGCCCTGGGGCCTGTATGCTTGCTTATAGTTGCATTGCAGTGCTTTCTGGTGTAGTGTTACGGGGAGACCCATCTGTAGGAGAAGGAATAATGGGATTACTTTCAGTTTTTGAAGGTAGTATATCAGTACCTTCATTTTTGTTCCAACTTCTCAAAAAATATTTTTGTTTTATCTTCTAAGCCCAAGGCTACAAAGAGAAACCCTTTCTCAAAAAAAAAAAAAAGTTTCTCTAAGATCCATTTTTTTTTTTTTGTCCAACAGATTAATCATGAGCTATTATATCAGACAAATGTTTCAAGTCCGAGCTTTTCTACTGTGAAGGAGAGTGTTCCAAGGCCACACCTTCCAGATGTGGGGAATCTCTTCACAACAAGGCTTATAAACAACCACCTTGCTTCACCGCAGACTGAAGCTGAGAGCAACAGGTTAGTGATGAGATTATGCCCAGTGTGGAGCACGGGTGGAGTGCCTTGCGCCTCTTGCGCCTCTTGTGCAGAAGTGACGCAGTTCCAAGATTGCAGTTCACAGGAATGAGAAAAGTCTCCAGGATCCCCTCCTCCCTTCTTCAACCACATATTTAAATTAGCTGAAGAAACTTTAACTGAGTGGGTAATGCTGGGACTCTCAGTACTCAGGAGTTCATCTTCATAGGACCAGCATGTGTACAACTTTATGTGTGGGTAGGGGTAGGAACAAGAGCACAGTGTTGTGTGTGTGTGTGTGTGTGTGTGTGTCTGTGTGTGTGTGTGTGTGTGTGTGTCTGTCTGTCTGTGTCTGATGTATTAGGAGGTTTGATCAGATCTCTAACTCTTGCTGTGTTGGGGGCAAGTGCTTATAACTCTAGCTCCTTGGCAGTTTAATTTATTTGTTCAAGTTAGTTTGGAGCTACAAAGTGAGAATTGTAGGTTCTTATACAGCCCAGGTCTGTAGCTTAATGGTGGGAGCACATCCCTATGGTTCACGGGGCACAGGAACCACATTCTGGTCGATACACTTCAGTTAGCAGAACTACAGAAGCCCAAAAGCAATGTTTGGTGCATTTGGGGACTTTCCTGACTCTTGGAACTAGGGTTGGGGATGCATTAGCAATTTGTTCCCTTTCTGGCAGGTGTTGGGGCCTGTGTGCTGGGATTTAGGGTCAAAATGGTGCCTCTAACATGGTGTCAGTTGTGCTAAGGTCTGGTGGCTCGTTACAGTCTGTGGTGTAAACACCACTGCTTTTGTAATGACCTGCGTCCATCTTAGTCATTTTTCCTGTTCTTGTTATGAAACACCCTGACACTGACGTCTGTTAAGAGAAACATTGAGGGGGCTGAGGAGGTGGCTCAGAGGTTAAGAGCACTGGCTGCTCTTCCAAAGGTCCTGCGTTCAATTCCCAGCAACCACATGGTGGCTCACAACCATCTATAATGCAATCCGGTGCCCTCTTCTGGCCTGCAGGTGTACATGCAGGCAGAGTACTGTACACATAATAAATAAATCTTAAAAAAGAGAGAGAGAGAGAGAAACATTGAGACAAGACACTGGGAGGTAGTAAGACCAGGCTTTTCTGGGGGGTTGTGTGGCCTTCACATCCCCAAAGTGGAATTGGGGTGAGTTCAGCTATTAGCGTGGTGGCCTACCATGCAGGAACGTTCTGGGTTCAGTCCTTGGCACTGTACAAAAGTAGGTGTGGGGTTGAAATTTCTGCCCTTAGGAGGTAGAGGCAGGAGGACCAGAAGTTCAAGGTCATTCTTGCCTACATAGCAAGTTCAAGACCAGCCTGATCAGAATACATGAGACCCCAGTTCATGGGAAAATAAATTAATAAATAGATGGATAGGTAGATAAATACAATGATTGTGCTGGAGAGGTTACTCTGAATAAATTCACTGGGAAGCTGTGAAAACTTAGTAACTATGAGCCAGATGATATAGCTCAGTTGGTGGAGTGCCTGCCTTCTCTGCACAAAGGTTCCATCCCCAAACCTCATGAAGCTTGAAACCCCAAGAAAAATAAAGAAAATGAGGCCGTTTACATGCAGGTGTGTATATGTTCACACACTTTCAGAGGCTAGAGAAGCTATCAAGCATCCTGCGGTGTCCCTGTCCACATCATGCTCAAAGCAAGGTCTCTGGCTGAACCGGCGCCTCACTGTTTTAGATGGCTGTTTAGTAAGTTCCTGTGTCTCCACCCTCCAGTGGTGAGGTTGCAGGCACCTACTCAGATTTTTTTCATGACTGCTAGGGATTTGGACTCAGCACTTATTATCAAACAGCAAGTTTGATAATAAGCTCCTAAGCTATCTCCTAGACTCAAGACAATCTCTAATTTAGGGGAAATTATGTTATATGAAATTTATAGTGACGAGGTCCCTATGTGGGAGGTGGACAGCAGATGAGAAGATGAAGAAGAAAGGAAATCTGAGGTCAGGAGGTCTTGCACAAGCTCTGTCTCATGTCAAACAAGGTCATTAAGTATAGCATCTTATATGCAAGTGTTCCTGAAAGGGACAGTGGGAAAGCAGAAACTGCCATATTATAGTGCTGGAGACCACATGGGAAGAGGTGTCAGTACAGACCATGTAGAGATACTCTTAAGGAGATCCCAGTAGTCAGCCAGGTGAGGCAGGGAATCTCTGAATTCAGGATAGCCAGAACTACATTAAACAACAACAAACAAAACAGAGATAGATCTCAATAGTCAATTATTTCCTAATAGTAAAAGGAGAAAGTAATTTGCATCATTGATTCAATGTTAGGTTTGAATAGTGTGATATTGGAAAAGTAAGACATCCCAGAATTTGAAGATAATTAGAGAGTTGTTAACATAGTTGTTTGTAAACAGGTCACTGTGCTTTCAGTGTGAATTCTCCCACTGAGGTTGTGGGTGCACACTTACTTCTTAGTGGTGCTGTCGTAGAGGACTGTGAACCTTTGAAGAAGTGTACCTCGCTGGATAGGTCAGAGCATGTGTAGCCTGCCCCCACCTTCTGTCTGTTCTGCCAGGATGTGAGGGATTCCTGCACATTTCTGCCACCATCAAACAAGCCTCTTGGTGCCATGTTCTCCTTGCCTGTACTCTCACTGTGAGCCAGAGGAGCCCTGTCTTCACTAAATTGTTTTCAGATACTTTGTCTTTCCCATCTTTTACAAACTTAACATTTTATGTTTACACTTTCTTCCAGCATGAAGCGGAAGCTTAGTGCTCGTTCAGTTCTGAATGCAAAGACTCGGAGATTAAATAATCCTCCATTTGAAAATTCATCTTACAAAAATGATGATGATGAAGATGTCATCATTTTAGAAGAGAATAGTACCCCAAAACCTGCAGTAGATCCAACTGTAGTAGATCATGAAATCGAGGTCAAATCAGAACAGATTCACATTGAGCAGAGTGGTGCTCAGGTGGAGCTAATAGACGGTCCTGACCCTTGTGTCCAGGCTAGTGCAACAAGCACCTCCACCTCCAGGTGTGAGCAGGGCACTGCAGTCTCCACCCAGACGGAAGTACCAGGTCTGACTGTGAAAAAGGAAGAAAGTGTTGAAGACATGGCTGCATCAAATGATACATCAGCACTGTCCTGTGTAAATGCTAGGGCAAAGGTGCAGGACACCTTGGAGAAGTCAGCAGATGCTGCTGGCCGTCAGATTCAGGAACTGAGAAGCGAGCTGCTTTCAGTCACGCAAGAAAGAGATGAATACAAGAGACAGTGTCAAGTGTTTTCTGAGCAGATAAAAGTCTTACAGCAAAGGATATTAGAGATGAATGACAAGTACGTGAAGAAGGAAACTTGCCACCAGGCCACTGAAACTGACACTGTGTTTTTACTTGAAAGTGTTAATGGTAAATCTGAAAGCCCAGACCATGTAGGATCTCAGTATCAGCAAGCTTTGGAAGAAATAGAAAGGCTGAAGAAACAGTGTAGCACCCTGCAGCATGTGAAGACCGAATGCAGCCAGTGTTCTGGGGCTGAGAGTAAAAGTGAGATGGACGAGATGGCTGTGCAGCTTGATGATGTGTTCAGACAGCTGGACAAGTGCACTGTGGAGAGGGACCAGTATAAAAGTGAGGTGAGTTGCCAGCAGTCAGTGTCTAGCATGTGCCAGGTTGGAGTATGCTGTCCTGGAATAACTGGTTTATTGAGTGCCTCCTCCTCCTTTGCTTCTTAGCTGGGGAGTGGGCCTTCTGGAGGCATAGAGGGATTTGTAGAAGCATTTTTTGATTCTTAAATGTCTTAAGTAGGGACTGATGAGGTGGCTTGGTGAAGAAAGCCTTTGCCTTGCAAGCATGGGGACTAGAGTTCAGATCCCTACCATCTACATAAAAGCCCCTTGATGTGGCAGCTCACTGTTCCCCAGTGCTTGTGAGGCAGGGGTGGGGATTACAAGCTCTAGGATTATGAAGAGAGACTGCCTCAGTGAATGAAAGTGGAGCATCAGTAATCAAGGAAGACCCCAGAAATCAGCCTCTGGCCTGCCCATACACACAGCAATAAATAAAGAAGTAAATGAACGAATAACACATATTAAACTAGGTGTGGTTGTCAATATTTGTAGTCCTAGCATTTGGGATATAGAGTCAAAGATTAGGAGTTCTAGGTCATCCTTGATACATGGTAACTTTGAGGCCAGCCTGGGCTGCATATAAGACCTCGTTTCCCCTCCTTGGCACTCCTCTCCCAATGCTATCCAAAACAAAACAAAAGGAAAAAGGTTTGATAGTACTAGAAAATAATGGGACATGGCTGGGTGTGGTGAATTTCCTGTAGTGAAGGGGATGTTGCTGGAGAGTAAACGCTGTGGTCAGAATTCGGCATGTAAACAGTAGTACCCTTCTTTTATGGAGGGTAAAGTCCAAGTGCAGTGGCAGCTCCTCTGTTCAGCCAGGCTTCAGCTGTGAGAAGCTTGTTAGAGCAGCTGTGCCCCGAGGTGGCGCCCCAGGCCAAGAAAAGAAGAGTTGTCTGTATTCAAGGGCTGATCGATTCTGGGAAATGTGCTTGCTGTTGAAGAAGTTTTCTTCTGAGGAAGAAGGAAAACATTAATTATCAGGATGTGAGTGGTAGCCTATGCATATGGCCTATTACTCAGATTTGCAAAGTGTTCTGTTTTTAAGATAGGGTCTTATGTAGCCTTGGCTAGACTGGCACATGATGTGTCTGTAGAGCAGGCTGGCCACAAACCCACGGAGATCCACCTGCCTCTGCCTTCTAAGAGCTGGTGTTAAATATATGCACACACCACACCTAGTGTCCAGTTAGAGTTTTAAAATGGGTTGGCTGGTGCCCAGGAGGCCAGAAGAGGGGTTGGGTGCCCCTGGACCTGGGACTACAGTAGTGGAGGGATCCTCAGGCCATCTCGGCAGCCCTTATCCACACTCTTGTGCGCAGCGCAGGCTGTCGGGAGCATGGTGCCGTGGAGTGGATGGAAGGAGCCCACGTCACGTGAGCCTACCAGCATCTTGGTGTTCATTCTCGGGGCCATGGACAGCCTGTCGCATGGTAGTCATCACCTCTGTCCTCACCGTAAAATGATAGGAAACATGTCTAATGGGAAGTTACCGGGGGCTGGGACACAGCTCAGTGAAGGTTTGCCGTAAGGGCAAGACCCTCCATCTCCACGCGGGATCGAAGAGAAACCAGCATTGCTGGGCACATGTGGATTGGTGTGTTTTGGCAGCTGATCATTTTATCAGGGTGATTCTTCCATTTCTTATCCTAAAGTTGCACTTGGAGTGTATTTTTAAATGTTCTGCTTATAAAATTTGTTTTTTGGTCAGGCTCAGTTATTGGAAATAGAGAAATCTCATGTTCATTCTCAGTGTGAAGAACTCAAAACTGAAATTGAGCAACTGAAATCTACAAGTCAGCAGGCAGGAGCTGATGTCTCCACTTCAAGCAACACTGAGGAGCCCGTCAGTTGTGTGGATGGGGAAAGGTACTGGAGTTTTCTGCAGGCTGGATTTGTTGCGCACTGGTTTTCTCGGGGTGCACATGCTCGGTAGACACTGGTTTCAAACAGCCACTGACAGGCATTGTAGTCGCCGCAGAACTGCGGAAGGAAGGCTCAGGGAAGGGACACATCATTATTGCTTCAAGTTGCTAAGTTACAGGATAGAAAATGGTTTGGATTATTTGGGTGAAGAATGAAAACTGGGCTTAGTCTTTGAAAGTGGGCTGAATTTTGCCATGACTATGACATGGGACACACTGTCTCTGACTGCCTTTCTCTCTCTATGTATAAATATACGTAAATATGTATGTAGTTACATCCTGTTAACCAAGAAAACAACGGATGATTACGCAAGTAAGAGCTATATATTCGATATTCATACTTGTGCTTTTGTTTAGATTTTTGGTGGGGTTGTTCTTTTTGGTACAGGGTCTCAGCTATTTATTATGTGGGTGCTGGGAACTGAACCCAGGTCCTCTATAAGAGCTACAAGTCTAAACAATAAATGAATTATCCTATCTCAGTTGGCTTCTTCTCTGACCAAAAGCAATGTGGGGAAGAAAGAGTGTTTTGGGCTTATGCTCACAGGCCACAGTCTTGATTGAGGGAAGTCGGAACAGGAGCTGGAGGCAGGAAGCCTGGAGGAGGGCTGACGCCTGCTCACTTCCTGACTCATGCTTAACTTGGACTCCCTGAAGTTTCTTTGAGAGGACTCTAGGCTCTGCCAACTTTCCAGTAAAGCCTACTAGGACACGTAGATACAGAGAAGGCTCACAACTTCACAAATCCCGCTTAACATTATTCAAACCAAACTTTTGGGAGCTTACTTGACCACAGAATTTTTTTTCCTTTTATACTTAATTAAGGAACCTTGAGGTGTTGGTGCATACCTTTAATCCTAGCACTCAGGAGGCAGAGGCAGGCAGACCTCTGTGAATTCCAGGCCAGCCTGGTCTACAGAACAAGTTCCAGGATAGCCAGGCCTACACAGAGAAGCCTTGTCTCCAGAAACCAATTAAAAAGCAATTGAGTTTATTTTCCTCAGTGGGGAGGTAAAATTCAAACTCTGTTTTAGTTTTCACCAGCTTATTGCTGTTTGTCCAGGTGATAGGAAATTGGAAATAACATCTGATTGTGTGTTTTGCTAGTCCCAAGTTGTCTCAAGAGCCACTAGTTTCATGAAACATTCTTCTTGGATTTAGCCTAGCATCTAATGAAATCAATTGATCATTAAATCCAGTTCTGAAGGGAGTTTGTACTTCTCATTTTACTCTCTATCATTCCACAGAGATTGTATTTTTCCCTTTTAAGCTCCGTAAGAGAAGCCATTTGTACTGTACACTCACCTAAGCAGTTCGTGTTTGTGTTTGCAGCCTCAAACTCCGCTCTCTTCGAGTCAACGTAGGACAGCTGCTAGCTATGATTGTGCCTGATCTGGATCTTCAGCAAGTCAATTACGACGTTGATGTGGTAGATGAGATTCTAGGACAAGTGGTGGAGCAGATGAGTGAGATCAGCAGTACTTAGAGTGTCTGCGTACAGCCTTCTCAGTGCGGAGTTCAGTGACAGGCAACAGGCTGAAGAATCTATGCATTCTAGTGTCCCAGTCACTGTGGACACACAACTTTTGACATAATCTGTGAATTGCTGGTATCAAGCAGCGTAATAGCTAGCCTCTGTTCTGAATGTAAATATTTGTATTAAGCCCGCACATATTTTTTTATTGCCCTAAAGATTGGTGTTTTTCACCAAGAGCTTTTCAGGTTGTTACTATGGTTTGTGCAATTTTTCTGGCTCCCTAAAATGTATTTTTCTCAAAATCCAGGGCTGTGCCATAATATAAATGGATATGTTGCTACTGTTGTTTCTTTAAATGAGCATAAGAAAGATTTTGAAATAATGTAATGACACTCCTGATAGGGTGTGCTTATAAGGGAATTGAGTGTTAGTGCTGTTTTCTATAAATTCCTGTCTCTGAAATAATTCTATTCATAGGAGAGAGGAAGGCCAATGCTAGCTGCGTTTGTCTGGCTTTTTCTTGTGCTGAGATTGCTAATCGTCAAGTAAAAGTGTTTTCTGGGACAAAGAAAAGATCTTCAAAGTGTTAAAAATATCCAGTGACAACCATGTTTACTTTAAAACCCATTTTTGGCTGTTGATTCAGCATGAAGTGGGCGCAATAATTATTTGAGATTTCTTTTTGTGAAATTTCCTGTATAGCCTTGTAAGGTTACTGCAGGTTAATGTAATCTGAGAATGCAGTCTCTCTCAAACAGTACTGCGTATCTTTTACTATATTATGAATGTAAGTGCTTTTTATCCTGGAGTTAATCACAAAGGGGCCTGGGATTATAGTGTCACATGCCGTAAATATGCTTTTACTGGTCCCAAGTTCTAAGTTCTGTGCAATCTAAAGAGATGGCTTTACATATGTAACTGTATATAATTAAGAATCATATTTTCCACAACTAGAATGTGTTATTTTTCCCAAAGTTTTATTGTTGCTATTTATTTTAACTTTTGTTTATGGGGTTCCGTACATACTCATCTCGTGTGTAGCTAATTACCCACGTCGTGTACAGCAGTAGATCTTTATGTATGTTGCCTTCTGGAAATTGCAAATAAATGAAGTTTTTGTTTTTATTTACTTGATAAACGTGATTGAAAATTTTTTTTGGTATGAAGCTGATTTTCTCTTCAAATATGTCAAGTATATATAGTGACATCCTCACTAGTGCTTCTGAAGAAGTCAGTGTTATGTCAGATGTTAAACACGTGACCACTAGGCCCTCAGCTGCATTTAGTTTACTGTATTAGTGATGGACCATGCTCTGAAGTCTAAGACTTTCCCTTCAGTAAGGCCAGCTGATTGCTCTCGAGAGTGAGATGTGTGCTCCAGAAGAAACCCTCTCCTTGTTTTCAAGGCTCCGGAGGACAAATCTAGAGCCTTGTACTCTACCCCTGAGCCATATGCTTAGCCCAACATGAAAGTGTTTGTGAAAACCACAAATGGGGGCTGGAGAGATGGCTCAGTGGTTAAGAGTGCTGTCTGCTTTTCCAAAGGACCAGGGTTCAATTCCCAGCACCCACATGGCAGCTCACAACTGTCTGTACCACCAATTCCAAGGATTCTGACACCTTCACACTAAATGCACATAAAATAAAAAATTAAATAAATTATTAAAAAAAAAAAAACCCACAAATGACAGCACCTTTGTAAGTCACGGATGTTCTGTGGATGTTTGAGGCTCATGCAAGAGTTATCAGAGATGCCATGTTTCTTTTGGTTGGCCACGCCCTTGACAATGTATTTTATATGATGTGGCTTAATGAGAACTCAATCATAGAATTTCCAAAATAATTTTTTTTTTTTTTTTTTTTTTTTTTTGGCAAAACTGGTTCTTTAAACTGTTTTCATATCTTTTACTCTTTAAACAAAAGAGACTGGAAGGGGATTTATGAAGAGAACAGTGTGGCCCTTCATGCGGTGCATGGGGTTAGATGAGTGATCCTCCTGTTCCTACTCCAATAACAATAGGAAGTTGTGAGGAAGGTAGCCAGAGCAGTACAGACTCTCTCAGACACAGCCCGATTTGGTCAGCTGCAGAATGGGTGGTAAGTGAGACCCTACACACCGGTGCCTGCTTCCTTGGTGATCCCGCCCTCGAGCTCAGAGCTCTGATCTTACACTTCTGTCCTTGAACATCTCAGGCATGCCCGGCCTTCTGACACTGACGGGAAGGTTCTGTCTGTGGAGTTGAGAAGCACACAGTTGAGTTCCAGAGGAGCAGTGTTGAGGTAGCAGTCTTGTGCTGGCCACGTGAGTAGCTGCTGCTGGCCTAAAAGTGACTCGCACTGGGCAACCTCGATGCTGGCTGCATGGTGGAATCATCGGTAGTTTTTACAACTTCCAAAGGTAACTCTGCACCCCATTATGAAATTGTTCTTTGGGGGCTAGAGCCAATAACAGGGTTTTTGTCTGTTTTTGCTGTGTCCCTAGTTGGCCTAGAACTTATTATATAGGTCAGTCTGTCTTAAAACCTGTGGCAGTCCACCTGCCTCTGCCTCCTGAGTGCTTGGATTATAGATGTGTGCTACCAGGCCAAGCAGCAAAAGCATTTTAAAACACTTGCCTGGTTAGTTCCAGCTACCAGTGATGAGCTCGTGACCTGTGGCTCCTGGTGGGTTTTCACAAACCCTTGCTCGGGGAATCTGCGAGGCAGGGGAGCTGAGTGTACTGCGGTGTGGGATGTGAAGGAACGCTGTTCAGCAAAGAGACCGCCTCCCCGTGCCCTGAAGACAGCCGCCGCTGAGTTCCAGAAATAGCGCACACGTTCCTGCACATAGAGGTACTTAGCAGGGTGTTGGTAATGTGTCAGAGAAACCATGCACAGTTAATAAATGCCACGTTCCCTTTGCAAGTATTTCTGCAGTGTAAATTCTTCACAGGAAATACAAGGTGTACACTTCACTGAATGTTTTTCAAAGAAAATGTTGCAGGGACTTTTTATTCCTTTGTGCATTAAGAGTGGTTTTTCAAATCTACATCATACTGATTCGTTAAAAAATTTGATATGTAGGAAAAAATGGCAGTTTGTGCTTCTTTATCATAGGCTGAAAGTGTTGCCTTTCTTACTTTTTCTTTGTTGTTTTTGTTTTTTGTTTGTTTTTTGGCAGTTTTTCCGTGTAACTGCCCTGGCTGTCCTGGAGGTCACTCTGTAGACCAGGCAGGCCTGGAATTCACTGAGATCCTCCTGCCTCTGCTTCCCAAGTGCTGTGATTAAAGGTGTGCGTCACTGCTGTCCAGCAGTGTTGACATCTTTCTTTGCGTGTTCTTTACTAATGCGTTGGTTTGCTCCTATAATGAAGCCAAAAGCTAGTGCTGATATATCTGCAAATACTGTCCTATTAACATCCAGGTGGCTATGTGGGGAAAACCAAACCAAAACAGAAACTCAAACACTAGTTACACTAGATGAGTCACTGAAGTGAGTCTCAGTGGGCTCCTGAGATAAAGTCCTGCACCTTCGTATCTGTGCGTTGGACACTGGACACCGTTCCCAAAACCATGAATGTCTGCTTGGTAGGAAGGAAAGTGTAACTACATCCATTGCTTCTCAGAATTAAGCTTCTTGGGTACAGTGTTGATGTTGGGAACTGCACAGTCAGATTGTCTGCCTGTGCAGCCACCACTGAACAGTAAGCCAGATGGTTGGTAACCTGCTGAAAACTCAGGAGACTACAAAACAGAATTGTCGGTGGTCCTAAGGAAGAGTAGACACAAAGCGTGGCCAAAGGGGCCATGAAAACAAACACTAAAAGCCAAAGAAAGATTTCTATTGTTGAAGCTGTGGAATTTGTCTACTGGAAAAACTTCATCTAAATAAAGCCCACCTTCAAGATGTGCTTACACTCTGGAGGGTGGTAGTAGGGTCAGCCTGGTCTACAAGCAAGTTTCAGGATAGCCAGGGCTATCCTGAAAGAAACCCAAAGAAACAACAAAGAAACACAAAGAAACCCAAATAACAACAATGTAAAAAAACAACAAGAGATGTGCTTATACAAGACAGCAGGTTCCTTTCCATGGCCCTCAAGGAATAGTGAGACTACTTCCTGTCATGTCGATCACGGACTCCGCACCAGCACGGAGCGACAGTTGAGGAAATGAGTTCAGTCCCCAGCACCCTTGTAAAAAGGTCCAGGTATGCTGTGGCCCAGTAGCCGGGCTTTCCTGGCCAGTCAGCACAGCCTGCTCAGAGGGCCTGTCCGAGAGGGGGGAGGAGGGGCAGGAGAGGGGAGGTGGTCAGCGCTTCAGGAACAACACTGAAGTTCTCTACCTTCCACATAAATGCACATATGTGTGTGCACAGACACGAAGGCAAAAACTCCGTCAGCGGTTGTTCTTCACAGAGCCTTTAAAACTTGACACTTTTAATTGATGGCAAATAACAGCTTTTGTAACTAATCTTGTTGACAATTTCATACAGGTTTATAATACATTCTGATTGTTCTTCCATCTTCCTGTCATCCTTACCAAGTCCTCTTCATCCCTACCAGTTCCTTTCCTAGGGTCACTTTTCTGGTTTTACCTTGCAGTGAATGTAGGCTATGCAGGCCCTTCGGTGTTGGGTAGCGCCTGGTGGTTCGCCAGTGGATGAGCAACTGAGGGCACGGATTCCCTCTTTTCCTAACGGTAGTAAACGGTCCAGCAGTGAGGGATGGGGACACCAGATCTCCACCCCCCCGCCCATGCTTGACAGCCTGTTCTCGTGCATACCAGGTACACTTCATGACTGCAGTACATTTGTTATGCCAGGAGGTGACGTTTCACTGTCCTCCCTGCCTCTAGCTCTGACATCCCATGCTCCATGCCTACAATCTGCCCTGAGCATCAGGCAGGGTAGCATAAATGCCTAGTTAGGGAGGTCACTCACCGCCACTGAACCCCTGGGAAAGGCATGGGTCTGCATTCACTCCCACTTGTTGGAAAACGAGGCTTCCCTAAGGTGACTGAGAGTAGGATTAGTGAGTGGGTACAAAAGAGCTACAAGGCAGCTGAACATGCGCAGTTCAGCTGAGCCGTGCTCAGGAGCCTGCACCGCTTCCAGTTAGCGCTCTCCCATCTCAGGGGCCGGCTGTGAGCGCTCAGCTTCTGCTGCAGCGCCGTGCCTGCCTGCTCGCCGCCACCCCGCCATGACGGTCAGGGGCTCACCCTCTGGATCTGCAAGCCCTCTGTGAAAGTCGCCTCCGTCGTGGTCTCTTCCCAGCAATACAAGAGTAACTAAGACAAGGGCACATCTTTTTTGTGATGGTTGCCCCATGGCAGTGGTACCGTTTACACAAGTGGGCGTATCTTGCGTTTGCCAGAGCTTCTGGAATACTTCTTAGTTATAGATGTGTGTATGTATTAGAGTATTTATGTATGTGTGTATAGATGTGCTTATAGTACATATAAGCACATTATATGGGGCAATAACACTTTGGTGTGGATCTGCAGAAGTGTTGCTGGGACCAGCTGATCACGAAGCTCTGGCTAACATTTGGAGTACAGGCATATTTGCAGAACTGGCAGCTGACAAACCACTTTTCCATGAAGACTCAAAAATGACCAACTCTTTGGGCTTTTCAGATCATCGGGCTCCTGATAAGGAGGTGGATTCGTCACACAACTCTAATACATTCCTCAAGTGCAAACCAGGAAGCTGTGTCACATGTTAGGGAGTTGGAGAGAAATGGCTTGGATTTACTGATGCTGCTAAGTGAATTTATTTGTAGGTAAAGTGGCACTGAGAAACATTTAGGTGATTTGGATAATTAGATTCCGGTGATATAGCCTTCTGTCACAAAGTTTCAACCATCAAGAAGGGATGCTTGGATGTTTTACTGCTGATTCTGTCTTGTGTATTTTTCTTTGTTTTAAAACTTATTCTGTATTTCTAATGTTAAAGGTATAACTTGGGGCCAGGACACTCAGGTGTCAAGCGCCAGGCCCTGGGTTCAGTCATCAGCACTGTATAAACCAGGCGTGGTAGGTAGAACACCGCAGAACTCTCTAACTCTCGGGTTAGCAACCCCAACGCGGGACCAGCGAGGCTCGGGAGACGCGCGGTCCCGCCCAGCGGGAGCCGAGGCAGCTCCGCCCACAGGGAGGAGGGGCGTCAAGAGCCCCGCCCACCGGAAGCCGCAGTGTCGCGACAGCACCGCCCACAGGGAGGATGGATGTCCTGGAACCCCGGTCCAGCAAGCCTTTGCCTGGCGATAGCCCCGCCCACGAGGAGGAGGGGCGTCCCGGGCCCCGCCCTCCAGCGGGCGTGGCCTGCGGCGCGCGGGAAGCGGCAGGCCGTGGCAGCTCCGTGCGGACAGGGTCCCTGCAGGTAGGCTCCTCGCGGATCCCCGGTGTCCGCGCCTTTGGGCCGGGTCGGGCTGCAGCTGCTCTCCCGGGCCGCAGGGCGGGATCGCGGCGTGCTCGGTTCGGAGGCCGGTCCTTCCCCGGCCGCCGTCCCCCCCGGGACCCGGGCTCGCGCGCCTCCCGCCAGGCCCGGCTGCGCCGCCGTGACCCGCGCCCCTCCCGCAAGCCCCGCCCCTCTCCACGGCCCCGTCTCCCGCGGCTCCCCGGGACGCCACCTCGGCGGGATGCGCTGTGCTGCCCGGCCTCGCTCCATCTGGGCTGTTTGGTTTCTTTCTCTTCCGGAACCGTAAACTGGTGAAGTCGCTGCCTGTGCGAGGCTTTTAGCGGAGGATTGCAGACGTCTGCGTCGTCCGCGCCGCCAGCTAGTTCCCCGCTGGTTACCTGGTTCGCCCTTGCTGTTCTCTGTTTAACGTTTACTCACGTTTCCAGCCTCCCTTTGCCCGGCGGAGACCTGGGAGGATGAAAGTGATAACGTGTGAAATCGCCTGGCACAACAAGGAGCCAGTGTACAGCTTGGACTTCCAGCATGGGGCAGCCTGGAGGATCCACAGGCTGGCGTCCGCGGGGGTGGACACGGCCGTCAGGGTAAATAAATGGGCAGGCGGGAGGAGTCGAGGAAGTCCTGTTCGTTTTCATTCCTTTATTTGTAACTGAAGCCAGCAGCTCCAGTCGGTTTGCTACCCAGCCCAGAATGCTAAATTCTCAGGCCTGGGGTAAGCAAGGAATGCTGGGGAGATGAGCTCTCTTAATTAACATTGCCCACATTGTTACAAGTGGGCTCTCGGTAGTTTAGAACTAAACTCTGGTGCCTGCGCCTGCCCCCTGCACTCGTGAGGTCCTGGACGGAGGATCTGAAGTTCCAGATTCTCCTCAGAAGTGCAAAGTTTGACGCCACCCTGGGCTACGTGAGACCTTGTTGAAAATAGTAATACATCTCCCTCTTGTGCTGTGCCCAGTTCCTCTAGAGTGAACTTGAAGTGCCAATGGCGGGTGCCGGGGCTGTTGGCTTGCAGTTTTGCTAACATTTCCTTCTATTTACAAAGTTTCAGAGAGAACCATTTTTACCAGAAAATAAGTAGTCGTCTGGTGGGAGGAAGATGGGAGATGGCAAGTCTGTTTCTGTATTGTCAACAGATCTGGAAGGTGGAGAAGGGGCCAGATGGGAAAGCCATCGTGGAATTTCTCTCCAACCTTGTTCGGCACACCAAAGCTGTCAATGTTGTACGCTTTTCTCCAACTGGGGAGATTTTAGCATCTGGAGGCGATGGTAAGTATTGTGCTTAACAATCCCTAACCTTGACACTTCATGTCTCCTGACTGATAGTGCCATCTGAGCTGGGGTGATAGGCCTAGGCCTGTAATCATGGCACCTCTTAGGCCAACATGGCAGGACTGAGACTTGAAGGAAAGAAACTTCAGATACTGAGATCTGAGCTGATTGTATCAGGTCACTATCTGCCTTTCAGATTGATTAATACGTAACATATTTGAAGAGTATGTCAGCGTGGGAAGATGGAGGACACAGCATTAAACTCAGAAGATGTGTCTAAAAATAGTTGCTTCATTTGTCCCCTGCAGGCTGGCTGGGTGTGGAAGGAAAAGTGCGTGCTTCCGTCAGCCTCCCAGGGGCAGGCTGCTGGGTCTGTCTAGCCGTCAGAGTCACCCCCATGTAATTAATGGGCTTTGGCAATGTTCTCAGAATCTTTGGCAGTGTCTGGAGAAGATTGATTTGTATTGTGTACCTGTGCTTAAGTGAGATAAAAGAATATGAAAATGTAAAACTCTTATGCCATACATTAAGTACTCTGGAGAACAGCAGGATGTAAAATAAGTCTTAGTTTTGTTTGGAAAAAGACAAATAGTTGCCTTCTCTGCCCTACTGCCCAGAATCTGTGGGGTGTGAGTATCTGTGTACATCCAGCAGTGATGTAAGCACAGGTAGCGTGCACGCTCCCCACATTCACGGGAAGGTGCTGAGCGGACAGCGTTGAGGTTACAGGCTGGCTTCTGGGAGATGGCCCCAGGACAGGTCCCCTTTCCCAAGTCCCTGGGCCTTGAAGACCGACGCCTCCCTCTAGCCTGCACAGGGAGAGTATTGGTCTGTCGGCCACCTCACCTCCAGCAGGCTCCCTGACCAACTTGTGTAGCTAGGACTCCAGGAACTTTGAGTGAGCTCCTTTTGTCTGTGTTTCCTGCTCCCTCATTCACTCTCCGTTTCCGGGACATGCTAGAAGGATCATGCTATGCAGTGAGCCTGTAGTCAGCCTGTAGTCAGGTTAGGTTCAGACCATTGCTAGTGTCAGGCTACAGGTCTGGTGTGTCCTTACTGGTCTGAACAGATGGCTGTCACAGGTGTCCTAGCCACCGTGCTGTGAGTGCTTTTTGCAGATGCCCCGTGCTCGGTCCTCACGGCACTGTGAAGTGGTACGCATCAAGGTGACGCTTCCACGGGCATGACTGGCAAACTCTTGGCTTTCCTCTTCCTGATCAGCTGTCTGTTCGTTGTTTCTCGGGTCTCTCAATGCAGACAGTTACTTTGGAATGTTATTTTGCTGGCTTGGAAGTGTGTGCAGATGGCAATCCTAGTTCAGGGCCATTATGAGTTTGTTTCATTTTGTTTTGTTTCAGAAGAAGGCAAATTTACTTGTCCTGTTCAAATTCTCTGTTCCTCTGAGGTAGGTCTCAGTAGCCCAGGCTAGCCTTGTGCCTCAGGCCTCCTGCCTCCTGTTTCCAAGGGCTGGATTAGCACCACCACGCGCCCCGCCCCTGCTCACATGCTCAGAAGTGAACAACTCCACGGCCAGAGTGTCTGTCCACAGAGCAACGTGCGGTTTAAAGCTCCAGAAGTGAGGGAGGGCACAGGCACGCCTGGCTCCCACTGCACTGCTTCCCTCCACAGATGCCGCCATTCTGTTGTGGAAGATGAATGACAGCAAGGAGCCGGAGCAGATCGCTTTTCAGGATGACGATGAGGCGCAGCTGAACAAGGAGAACTGGACCGTGGTAAAAACCTTGAGGTAACAGCGAGGGACCGTGGCAGGGATGATTGTTTTTTTTTAATTATTCTTTTATAATCTATGATCATTTCTGCGTATGAGTACGAGTGCAGGCCATGGTGTGTGCGAGTGCCCGCAGAGGTCAGAAGAGGGCGTCAGATGCCCTGGAGCTGGGGCTGTGGGCGTCCTGTGGTGCCCAGAATTGGCGCTGAGGACAAAACTCGATTGATCAGAAGAGCAGCAGGTGTGCTCGAGTTCCCGCGAGTAGCGACTCTTCTTTACAGCCCGACTGCCTTAGTGCTCTGGTGCCTGACTCGGAGCCTTTGCTCCGAATCTTGTCTTCCTCCACCTTGTTTTTGAGCCAGGCTAGGCTGGCTTTGAACTCTCCATCCTGTTCCCTCAACTTCTCAGTGCCAGGATTATCCATGTGGGTTCCTGATGCCCTTTGATTCACTGTATATACAGATATCCTCGAAATCACCCGTTTATGGCCAGGCCTGACAAAGCTCCACTGGAAATTTCTAGAATCTGATTCGAATGTGGGGGTTCCAGACTTTGGACTTTTTGATGGCTTTTCTCTATTTGCAGAAATGTTATTTCTTCTGTCTTTGGGCTCTAGGGGCCACTTAGAAGATGTGTATGATATTTGCTGGGCAACTGATGGTAATTTGATGGCCTCTGCCTCTGTGGATAACACAGCTATCATATGGGATGTCAGTAAAGGTGAGCAATTTGTCCAGTTTATTAAAGTGATGTGTACACGAATGTGCACACCCGTGCTGTGCCCGTGGAGTCCAGATAGGCTGCCTGCTTCCGTGGAGTGTTTGTAAGGCTCCCATCTGGGAGCCACTCAGTTGTGTCCTTTGCAAGAGCAGCCAGTGCTTCGACCTGCTGAACAGACCGAGTGCTATGTTTTTGCTGTTAGGAGGAGGAAGGAAACACTAGGTCAAGGAAGCTGAGAGGGGAGCAGTTTTGGCAGAGGCTGAAATCAAGGCCACTCCCCAGACCTCCCTCATTTCACCCTGTCAGCATGCACCTCAGCTACGGGTCCCGCCCACTCTTGCCTCCTTCTGTTTTCCAAAGTCTTCCCTTGGGGAACTCAGGTCCCAGAGTCCTGATTCCTGGTCTGCTGGCCCCTGGTTACTCTCCTCTTGCTGTGATAGGCCACCGTGACCAGGGCAACTTAGAAAAGGAAGTGTTTAATTTGGTGCTCATGGTTTTAGAGGGTTGGAGTCCATGACTGTCACGGTGCGGTATGACAGCAGGCAGGCAGGCTTGGCGCTGGACAGGAACTGAGAGCTCACATCTCGGTCCACAGCCATCAGGCAGAGAGGGAGAGCATGCTAATTGGAAATGCCATGAGCTTTTTAAAATTTTGTTTAGTTTTTTGAGAACGGTTTCTCTGTATAGACTCAACTGTTCTGGACTTGCTCTGTAGACCAGGCTGGCCTTGAACTCAAAGCAATCCGCCTGCTTCTGCGTCTTCCAGACTACAGGCATGCACCACCACAGCCCAGCTTGTCATGAGGCTTTAAGAACCTCAGAATCCACTCCTAGTGATACACCTCCTCCACCAAGGCCACACGTCCTAATCCTTCCCAAACAGGTTGACCAAGCGTTCAAATATACGGGTTCCGGGCCATTCTCATTCAAACCACTGTGCTCCCCTAGGTCTGTTGTTTTCTGTCTAGCTTGCTTCCCAGTGTGATCCTAAGCCACTCTAGTCTGTTCCTCTGACCGCTTTTCTTTACCTCACCCTTGGAGACAACCCCCTGCCTGGGATCTGGCTGCCTGGGATCCAGGTTGAATTCCACCATTGAGCTTCTCAGCTCTGGCCTCACAGCTGCTTCTTAGACACTTGCACGTGCCCAGGCTGCCCTCCTGTTCTCCCTTGGCTAGTTAGTTTACTTGCGACCTACACAGGCCCCCTTGAGCCCTTCTCTCAATCCCCAGCTTCTTAATCCCAGCCAACTTCCCAGAAAGGCTTTCAAGGAGAGAGATGCCCTCGGGTGGAGCAGGGAGGGAGAGCATGTCAGAATCAGGCTCTAGGCGCGTGTCCCTGTGCTCTGAGGGTCATGGGCACTGTGGTTAGCAGTGCTGGTGGGTAGTGGGCCTAGAAGCTGGCGGCAGTGATGTGGGTGAGAGGAACGGAAGGAGGTGAAAGAGTCGGGAAAATGAAGGAGGAGAGGGTCTTCTCGCCCACCGCTGTCATGCATTGAGCCCAGGGCCTTGGGCCTGCTTCTTTGCTTTCAAATGGTTAAAGCCTTTCAATAGTAACTTACAATATTGAATATTGCATGGTTTGAGAGAAATGTACTAATCTGAGTAGCCTGATAATTTGGGGGCTAGGCAGTAGTTCTGTATAATCCAGAAGCCTTCTTTTACGTGCCAGCAAAACAGGCATTAAGTTAGATAAATAGAATGTCACATTGATGTTTGCTGCAGAAGGATTTGCACTTGGAGGTGAATGCAGGACTAAGTACCCTTAAGCTGTGCAGGGGAGTGTGTGTCAAGCTGATGGGGGCCCTTTGTGCCAGACACCAACCGTGTTAAGATGGTAGATGGACCAGGAATGAGCAGGGCTCTGGAAAATGATAGAAAAGTGGTAGGGCATAGCTACACAGTGGTTAGGAATTGCAGCAAAGAATCCCAGACCAAAGCTGTTGCTGAAGAATAATTCAAAAGCAGAAGTAAGCGAACACTGTCAAATACAGCTGTTGGTGTACTTTTTAAAAACTCTTATTTACATTTCTTTTCTCTTTTTCTCCCTATTCCACCCCAGTCCCTTCCAACAGCCCAACACCAGGTAGGAGAGAGCAAGGGTTAGTGGGAAAGGGGGCACAGTTCTCTTAGCTGCTTCGTGCTGATCAGGGTCATTGGGTTTCTTGGACCCAGTCTAATCCTCATTTCAGGAGATTGCCAACTTCTTGTCTCACAACAGCAATCAGGAGCAGCCTTGTTCTTTCTGCTCTCCACACTCTCTGGGCTCTGACATTCATTCTCTCTCTAGAGTCCTCAGATTTAAATTCTCTGCAGCTGGCACAGAGCCCCTCTCAGAGCCCACATGAGGCAAATAGTCTGCTGCTGTGGACCATTAAATCAGTCCACATCCCACACCTGGGTCCAAAACAAAAACATGTTTCTATCCACAACATATGGTAGGTAGTTCATATGTATAATCTCTGCCCTCAGGAGGCAGGGGAATTGCCTTGAGTTTGAGTTTTGCAGTTCTCAGTTTCTCAGTTGCCTCCACCACATGTGCTAAGCTCAGCTGTGATGGGGTGAGGGGTTCTCTCATCTGTGTGTGTGTGTGTTGTCAGGTGTCATTGTCATCAGTGTCCTGGTCCCCTCCGACATCCCCATCCTGTCCCATCCTATTCCATCCCTTACCATCACGGTGGGGTGCAGGCAGACACGGTGCTGGGGAAGTAGCTGAGAGTTCTACTCTGGACCCACAGACAGCAGGAACTGACTGAGACACACTTCCTCCAGCAAGGCCACGCTCCCTTTTAGTGCCGCTCCCCTGAGCTGAGGGGGCTGTTTTCTTTCAGACTACTGTACTACCCAACCTAGAGAACGACTCTTGGGCCTGTGGTTTCACTCCTGTTTTCTGACCTCATAGCCTGTATTCCCTGAAGGCACCTGGCCTCTTACCCTGAGTGCTGTGACAGGCGCTGGGGCTGTGTGGAGTGACCTCTGCATCCCCTGAGCCCAGTGCAGGCTTTGGGACCACCTCTCTGGGAACGAGAAGGTGGCGTGGTTGCTACAGCGTGGTTCCTGGTCCTTGTGGTAATATGTTTGTGTGCTTCTTTGTAGGACAGAAGATTTCCATTTTCAATGAACATAAAAGTTATGTACAAGGAGTAGCCTGGGACCCTTTGGGCCAGTATGTTGCGACCCTGAGTTGTGACAGGTGTGTAAGTCACATGGAAGTGTCTGCAAATGTTTTATCACAACCTCACTGAGGGGCTGACAGCTTTGGCACGTTTGTTCTTGCCTGCCTATTCCAACAAGATGGGAGTTAGAGACTTGGGAGGTCAGTGCCTTAGGGAGAGCTGCCAGTGCCGAGTCCTCACTGGACGGTGAAAGAACAGAAAGAACTCGTGTTTGCCTGCCTGTGTCCGTGCACCGTGTGTGTGCATTGGGTCCCCTGGAACTGGAGATCCGTGACGGGCACAGACTGGGTCCCCTACAAGAGCAGTGCATGCTTGGCCGCCGGCCCTGCTCTGCACCCCAGAGGAAGAGACACGCTCAACTGAACCCCACTGATTTCAGGGAGACAAACCAGCAAAGGTCGTGGTGGAGTCAAGTGTTCACGTTTTTACAGACACACACACTTTGCCCTCGCTCGGCTTTCTCCTACAGTGGCCGACATGATATTGTTCTAGATTTATTCATTTTACTTTATGTGTATGAATGTTTGCCTGCATGCATGTCTGTCTGTCTGTCTGTGCTCACATCCATACCAGATCCATACCGTGAGCACGGAGGTTAGAAGACAGGTGACGGTTCCCCTAGAGCTGGAGTTACAGATGGTTGTGAGCCGCGTGTGGGTGCTGGGAGCTAAACCTGGCTCCTCCGCTGGAGCAGCCAGTGCTCTAACCATTGAGCCGTCTCTCCAGCCTGTTTTTAAAAAAGATTTATTTATGAATTTATTTAATGTGCATTTGATGTGTTGCTTGCATGTATGTCTGTGTGAGGGTGTCAGATCTTCTGGAACTGGAGTTACTGTTTTGAGCTGCCATGTGGCTGCTGGGAGTTGAACCCAGCTGCTTCTGCTCCTAACTGCTGAGCCATCTCTCCAGGCCCTCATTGTTGGTTTTGTTTTTGTTTTTGAGACAGTGTTTCACGTAGCTCAGGCTGGCCTTTCTATGTAGCCAAGGCTTCTTTGTTCTTCAGATCTTGCCTCTACATCCTGAGTGCTATGATGCCAGCTTGCTCCACTCTGCCCCGGAGACTGAACACAGGCATCAGCCATGCTGGGCAAGCACTCTGGTAGCTGAGCCCTATCTCCCATCCTCAACTGCTTTTAATTTAAAATTTGAATTTACTATGGCTCTGAAATGCAAACGAGGTTGTAAGTGTTTGTTTATTGCAGACCCTCCCACCACGCTCTGAGTGCTGTGCATTTTCTGACCTCTCCTGAGGTATCAGAGAGGGCAGCTTGGTTGGTGGGAGCAATGGGACTGGAGAGCAAGATGCATTTGTCAGCGTTTTCCATCCCTGCACTTTTACGGACTGAGGGGAGCACAACTGTGTGTTACTGATCTCCCGCCTCAGCCTCTGACAGCTCACTCTGTAACCCAGGCTGGCTTTGAACTCATGGTGACCCTCCTACCTCAGCCTTCCATGTACAGGGATCACGGGTGTGAGTCACTATATCTGGCATTCCTAACATGAGACCGCCCACACAGATGGAAATGGTGGCGCACGCCTGTGATCCCAGCACTTGGGAGGCAAAGGCAGGCGAATCTCTGTGAGTTCAAGGCCAGCCTGGCCTACAAAGTGAGTTCCAGGATAGCCAGGGCTACACAGAGAGACCCTGTCTCAGAAAACCAAGAAACCCACACAAAACAAATGTCACTGTAGCCATACATGTGGTTGCCACTGGGCTAAACATTCACGGCTCAAAAATTAGGATTGCATCTTCCTCAGGTGAGAAGCTGAACTCTATTTATTCTGTGAGACAACCTTAAGGGAAATGAAGTAAAGATGAGTTTGCATCGTGGTTTCCCAGTTTGGGACACTTAAGTGATTGGTGCTTTCTCCTGAGACTCAGTGAGTCTGCTTGTCTGGAGCGGCTCAGCTGAGGTGGTGTGCACCCACAGGCCGCAGTGGGTTGTTTCTGTGTGAGGCCCAGTTCCCGGCCCAGCATGGGGCTCAGACTTCTCTCTCTCCAGGGTGCTGCGGGTCTACAGCGCCCAGAAGAAGCGTGTGGCTTTCAATGTCTCAAAGATGCTGTCTGGCCTGGGGCCCGAAGGCGAGGTAGGAAGAGTTTTTATTATAACTTCAAGTGTGTGTGTGCGCCTGTGTATGCATCTGTGTGCCCGTGTGTGTACTTGTCACAGTGCTTATGAAGGTCAGGAGTCCGTCCTTTCCATCCACTGTGCGGGTCCCGGGGATGGAACTTAGGCCGAGTTGTTCACCTCCAAACCACTTGCCAGCCTAGAACGCGTCTCCACCCTGTCTCCACAGTGCCTGGAGGGCTGCTGAGTCCTCCTGGGCTGCCTTACTGGCGTGCCAGTGATAAGCGGTGGCTTTGTGGACAGTGGGGGGTTTGGGGTGGCTAAGCTCTGTGCCCCACAGGCCCGGAGTTTCCGCATGTTTCACGATGACAGCATGAAGTCGTTCTTCCGAAGACTCAGCTTCACTCCGGATGGTTCTTTGCTCCTCACTCCAGGTGTGTGACAGCACGTGACACAGGGATGTGATGGCCACGGGGCCGTCTGTATTCCCGCTTTGGGGCACTTGAGCTCATGCAAGTGTGAGCAGTACCCAGAACTCGTTTTCCTTTCTTCTCTGAGTCCAGGTCTCCTGGAGCTCAGGCTGGTCCTGAGGGTGATCTTGAACTCTGACCCTCCCAGATTATGGGTGTGCACCCCAGGCCTGGGGGTGTAACTCTTAAATGGTAAGAGTGGTGCAGGCAAGTCAGTGGAATGTGATAGAAGTGGCCCGCGTGCTTTTTTTTTTTTAATTTATCAGTGTTCTGCCTATATTCCAGAAGAGGGCACCAGATCTCATAGATGGTTGTGAGCCACCGGGTGGTTGCTGGGAATTGAACTCGGGACCTCTGGAAGAGCAGCCAGTGCTCTTAACCTCTGAGCCATCTCTCCAGCCCAGCCCTGATGCTTTTGATATGGTATGTCCTATACAGCAGGCCTCTTAGTTGGCAAAAAAAAAAAAAAAAAAAACAAAGCAAAAGAAAAAAACCGGAAAGATGCATGTGGCTCATTGGCCAAGTGCGTGCCTGACGTGTGTACGGCTCTGGGGTCAGCCCTTAGTATCATAAATAAGTGAAGGAGTGGACGGTTTACCCCCAAGAGCAGACTCTGATGCCTAGGACCAGGCTAAGGCAGAAGTGAACTAGTGACAATTTAGATGTTGCTATTCTGTTCAGATTGAAAAAAGTAACAGTTCCATGGTGATGGCAGGATGTGGGCATTGCCCTGGGAACCCTCTGATCCCCATGTCTCACATCCGAGACGACATTCCTTAGCACAGGAGTACAGAGGAATTTCAAGGCGGGGAGAGAAGTTCAATATCCTTGGCTGTATAGTGAGTTCAAGACCATACTGGGACGCTTAGGACCCAGATAAAACCCAAACAACTAAAAATCAACCAGCCTCCCCCACACACCAAACCCCTGAAGCCCGCAGATGAGTGCGTCTCAACACGGGCCGGTGGTTTCTGCTGGCGAACATTGTGGAGCCACCAGCGCAGAAGCTTAGTGCCGTGCGAGCTCTTGTGAGTTTCTTGCAAGAAATGCCCTGAATAGACCCTGTGGGAGTTGTATGTGCCCGAGCTGTGACTAAGGGTTACCTGTGCCCAGGGAGACAGAACTGGCATTGCCCTGTCCCAGCGCGTGGGCTGTGGGCAGCAGGCAGCTATGCACACAAGAAAGAGGAAAATGGCCTGCAGATGCTCTCTACCTCGTGAGAGTCAGGCTCTGCCTCCTGACAACCCGAAGGCTGCTGTGGAGAGACGGGTGGCCAAGGTCTGAATGCTGAAAACAAATCTGGGGGCTTCGGGCAGGCCACCGGCTCCACAGCTGGATTTGACTCTGGGTCAAGCACAGGGTTTTACAGTTGTGAGCTGGTGGCTGTGGGCTCTTCCATCCACCGCCTTCCTGGGGCCTGGGGCCCTCCCCTGGGCTGAGGTGGCAGGCAGATAGAACTGAGGCAGAAAGCCGCTCTCACTGAAACAGTGTGACAGTGACTCTTCCCTCCCTTCCCCCGCTCCACAGCTGGGTGTATGGAATCCGGTGAAAACGTGACAAACACGACCTACGTGTTCTCCAGAAAACATCTGAAAAGGTACGCGGTGGAGGAAGGGTCTCAATTTTGCCCGATTCGCCTCTGTGGGGCGTCAGAGCCTGTTGCTAACCTGCGTCACCCTCGCAGGCCTGTCGCCCACCTTCCATGCCCAGGGAAAGCCACGCTCGCTGTCCGCTGCTGTCCTGTCTACTTCGAGTTGAGGCCGGTGGCGGAAACAGGTACCGTCAGAGCCACCGAGGGGTGGGTGTCCTTTCTCCCTGGAGGGGGATCTGGTGACTGGCCTGTGGGGAGAGCTGTGTGGATTTGGCTCCGGTTTTCCATTTTGTTCATTGTTGCATGTAAGAATTATGTATTTCTGTGGGCACTGTGTGATAGTTCAGTGTGTGTATAAAGTAATATTTGCTGTGAGAACATCAAGAGTCCTCTCCTTAGCCTTCTGGACACACACATATTCATCTGTGGCATCCCATGATCCATTGCGTGTCTTTTTTCTCATTGTCTGGAATATACTTCCATCTACAGCAATGTTAGAAAATACGGTAGTATTAACCAGTTTTCTGTTGTTTGTTTGTTTTTGTTTTTGAGACAGGGTTTTTCTGTGTTGCCTTAGCTATCTTGGGCTTCCTTTGTAGACCAGGCTGGCCTTGTGGATCCACCTGTCCCTGCCTCCCTGAGTACTGGGATCACAGGCATGCGCCACCGTGCCAGGCTTAGTGCTCACTGGTTTTGTTTTGTTGTTGTTTGACTTTTGGAGAGATGTGCTGTGGTGTAGGGCGGATGACCCTGGACCCAGGTCTCGGGCGCCGCCGCACCCAGATTCAGGTGGTGCTGAGCTTTGCACGCTAAGCTGGTATAGTCCATGGACTGAACTGTGTCTGTGTTCTTTCCTCTTCCTCCTGTGTGTCTGAATTATTTTTTATTTTTTGGTTTTTTGAGGCAGGGTTTCTCTGGGTGACCTTGGCTGTCCTGGACTCACACTCACAGTGATCCACCTGCCTTTCCCTCCCTGAGTGCTGGGATTCAGGCCATGTGTCTGAATTTAGTCTTGTGCCATGCTTTGTGTTTTACCCTAACTGATGCTGGGTATTTCAGTTCTTGTAAATATTCTTGACATTTGTTCTGGGATGCAGTTATGTTGCTTAGAAACAGTTTGCTGCTTTGGGCTGCTGCATTTAAGACTCAGTAGGTAGGGCCAGGCAGCGTTTGGTTCATGATGCAGCTTTCACCCTGAGGGAGGCCTTCTGCATGGTAACTGATGAACTGTGAGGGTCCCTGGACCTGTGGGAGGTGCAGGCTGCTGCCCATGCTCACTTCTCCAGGCTCCTCCTCAGCCTGTTTGTCAGCACTGAGCTCACCTGCAGCCTGGAACTCCGGCACCTGAGCGTGGAGGCTTCCTGAGCTTGGAGGCTCATAGCCTCTCATAGCTGGGAGTCTTCTGGATGCCCTGTCGGCCTTCACTGGGCCTGCCGGGCAGTTCCACTCCATGCTCAGGATCAATGCCTCTTGCCACCTGCTGGCCAGCATCTGGAAAGCGCTGACCACTTGCTTGGCCTGGCAGAACAGGGAAAGTAAATCTGGTCTGTTTTCTTCCTGATGGAAGCAGACACTGCTTTAAAGCTTAATCCCTAATGTAAATGGCACCATTAACTCAACAGCGCTCTAAAAACATTTCTTGAGCAGGCAAGGCTGTTTACACCTGTTATTGCAGGACTTGGGAGACGCTCTGGAGGCCTGCTGTGAGGTTGAGGTTTGCTTGGGCTGTATGGGGGGTTATAGGTCACTCTGGGCTAAAACTGAGTGATGCTCACACACACACACACACACACACACACACACACACACACACACGACTTGGTAAAGTGTTTCTACAAGGAAGCTGCACTTACTTCATGACACTCCTGGTTGGGCCTCTGATTCCTAATATTCATGTAAATGTAAGAACTGAATTCTTTTTCCTTTTTCTTTTTCTTTTTTGAGATGGCTTCTTTGTGTAGCCTTGGCTGTCCTAGAACTCACTGTGTAGACCAGGCTGGCCTTGAATTCACAGAGGCAGAATCCACCTGCCTCTGCCTCCTGAGTGCTGGGATTAAAGGTCTGTGACACCTGCTTGAATTCTTTTTTGGTTTTTTTTTTTAGACAGGGTTTCTCTGTGTAGCCCTGGCTGTCCTGGAACAGACCAGGCTGGCCTCAAACTCAGAGATTCGCCTGCCTCTGTCTCCCAAAGTGCTGAAATTTAAGGTGTGTGCCACCACTGACTGCCTGGCTTGAATTCTTTTTTTTATTTTTATTTATCTTATTCTTATGTGCGGGTGTGTTCGTTGCCTTGGTTGCATGCAGCAGTGCATGTGTGCAGGTCAGAGGATGCCCGTAGGAAGCAGTTCTGGCCTCCTACCATGTGTGAGTCAAACTCAGGCCGGCAGGCTTGGTAGCAGGGCCTTTACCAATCACCCATCTTGCCAGCCCAGGAGCCGAGCTCCTCTGTGCAGCTTACACACACTAGCATTGAGTGGCGCGTGTGTCCTTCCCGAGGAGAGTGTGGCAGGCGGGCTCTCTCCTTTGGGAGCTGCCTCTGTAGCTCCGCTCTGCCTGTCCTTCCCCGCAGAGGAGCCCAGCCCCGAGCTGGTGAGCCTGCCCTACCGGGTGGTGTTTGCTGTGGCCTCCGAGGACTCCGTGTTGCTGTATGACACGCAGCAGTCTTTCCCGTTTGGCTACGTGTCTAATATCCATTACCATACCCTGAGTGACATTTCCTGGTGAGTGGCTAACGGTGTGGGGGAGGGGCGGCGTCATAACATTGTCCTGCTGCGGCAGCTCTGCCCAGCCATGAATTCTGGTACCATGCGCATTGCCCTGTGCGCTGAATCAAATCCCCGTGAGCTGAGGCCCTAGGGACTTGTGGATCAAAGGCCTCACCTGCCAGCGTCACCTGACACGCCCTTCCTCTGATGCCCCACTGCTGAGCTGGCCAGTACTCAAACAAGGCTGAGTACGGACTGCATGAGTCCCATGCAGCTTAGGGTCCTCCACTTCACCATCCGCCTGAGGTCACCTCGCAGTCCTGCTGCACGGCTGGATGCTTGGTGCTGAACCCAGGGCCTCGTGCATACTAGACAAGACTTTGGTTTTCTTTAAATTTCTTTGTGTGTGGGGGGGGGGCGGTGCCACAGTTCACACATGGAGGTCAGAGGACAGCTTTGTGGGTCGGTGCTCCTGTCGCCTTACACGGCTCCTGGGACGTGAGCTCGGTCACCAGGCTTGCCTAGCAAGCACCTGGACTGACTGAACCATCTTGCTGGCCCCACGTTTATTTTCTATGTTGGGAAAGGAAAGGGTCACATTTATCCAGGTGACGTCAAGAGGAGGGCACATAGATCAGGATGGCTTCCAAGACCAAGATGGGGTTGGGAAAGGACACTGTGTGCCCAAAGGGTTTGTTCAGGCATCCGTTGCTCTGTTCCCCTGGCTGCTGCCTTCAGACAAGCAACCCTGTGGCCGCCTCCACCCCCATGTTTTAGGTTCACACTTCCTATGGAAGATTAAACAATGATGTATAGACGTCAGGGACCTCTGACTTCCTTCTTGTTCTGGGACGCAGGTCCAGCGATGGAACCTTCCTGGCCATCTCCTCCACGGATGGCTACTGCTCCTTTGTGACCTTTGAGAAGGGTGAACTTGGTGTACCTTTGAAAGAGAAGCCAGTCTTGAGCATAAGAACTCCCGATGCTGCAAAGAAAACCAAGAACCAGACACACCAGGGATCTTCGCCAGGATCCAGACCCGTGGAAGGAGCCAGCCGAGCCCCAGACCCCAGCAGCCCCTGTACCACCCCCTCCCCGACCACACGGTCTCCAGCCCCGCCTGCCCCCCAGGACAGCCCCTCAGCCCCTCCTGCTGGCAAAGGCCCCCTGCCGCGGCCTGCTGAAGAGAAGACCCTGCAACCTCCTAGTCAAAGCACAAAAGCTCCCCAACCGCGGAGGGTCACGCTGAGCACGCTGCAGTCCTGGAGCAAGGCAGCCCCCCGGTAAGAGCAGCTGGCAAACAGAGTGGGTGTGAGGCGAGCCCCGACATAGCAAACACGTAGCTGCTGCCCCCTCCTGGACCTGGCCCTCCTACCCAGGGCTAAGGCCCAGCCTCCTCCCATGACCCCACCCGTGACGAGTGCTAGATGGTTTCCTCTAAGCTTCATCTCCCAACTCTCCTGCATGTTTCCAGAGTGCGCTCTGCAGTGTGAGGCCTCTGTGTCTGCTTCCTGGATGTCTGCCACTCCTGGTGACGTTGGAACCCCCTGAGACCCATTTGTCCTCTCTCTGCCTGGTCTTGGTGACCCCTGCCTGCCGTAGTATTCTCTGGGCTGTTTCCTCCTGCGTTATAAGTGCCCTCCTTTCTCAGCTCAGCTCTGCTGCCCAGGGACACTGGAAAGCTTTCTGACACTGACCAAATGTCGCGAACAGTCAGCTTAACAAGGTTCCGAGGCTTTCAGCCGCGGTTAATTGCCTTGTTGCTCTAGGCCTGTGCCAGCACAGCACCCATGGTGTGTGTGACAAAGGAGGGTCACCTCACGGAGAGCACGGCAGGGAGAAGGAGCCAGTGTCGGGCGTCCTCAGTGACCTCGCATCAGCCCCTAGCCCAGGTCCTCAAGCTGCGGGTCAAGACCCCACGATCAGATACCCTGCCTGTCAGACAAGAGTCACAACAGCAAAATTACAGTTACGGAGGAGCAGTGAAATGATTTATGGTTTGGGATACATTGTCTTTTTGGGTTTTTTGGTTTTTGTTTTTCTTCTCTGCCTGTGCTGGAACTCACTGTGTAGGCCAGGCCGACCTCACACTCGGAGGTCCACCTCCCGCTGCCTACGTGCTGAGGTTCAGGCGTGCACCGCCAGTGTGGTTCACGATCATGTCTGGATAGGTGTCTGCACTGGGCAGTGATCAAATCGGCATCTCCGTGAATAAGTGTCCAGCCTTTCTCGAATCCGGTGCCCGTCACTGAGCACGTCCCATGCTGTGCACTGGGCACTGAACTTACTCCTTGTCTAGCTGTGGCACCGAGCCAATTGCCGAGCCCCTCCCATCCGTCACTCCAGCCTCTGTAGTCGTTATGGTCTATGTGACATCAGTCCAGTGGCGTGTGAGGCTGAGGCCTGTGAGCCTGGAGCGTCCTGGACATAGGAAGTTCCAGACCAGCTTTAGTACAGACAAGACTCTCCATCTCCACATACAAGAAAAATCCGTGAGAGCAACCTTTCTCAGCCCTCATCTGGGGAGATCACGTGTTTCTTCCTGGGCCCATATGTCACGTGCATCCCAGGCTTATCCTGGGACACAGATGGGAGGGTTTCCTTTCCTGGATGGGTAGTGCCCATCTCCCTGAGCCGCCTGGCCGAGGGGCACTGGCGGTCCTGGTGGGCTGGGGCCTGCAGGTGATGCTGTGGGCGGTCCTCCCTGGCCAGTGTCTCCTGTGCAGACAGCGGCTGCCTGCATCCCTCTGCACCAGGAGGTGCCTGACTGGGTTTTCTTCTGCATTTTTGGTACCCAGTTATCCCCTGACTGCCCGCCCTACTCCACCTGTCTCCTTCCCTGTTCATCCTCTAGGGCTGAGTGAGACTGAGTGCATTTTTAAAAAACGTGTGTGTGTGTGAGTGACCTTGGAGGTGACCTCCGAGGCCAGAAGAGGGTGTCAGGTCCCTTAGAGCTGTCTTGACAGCACTGGGAACTGCAATTAGGTCCTCTGGCGGAGCAGCAAACACTCTTAACTGCTAAGCCATCTTTCCAGCTTCGTGATGTGGTTGTTTGTTTGTTGTTTATTTGTTTGTGTTTTTTTTTGGGGGGGGAAACAGACACTATGTAGCTCTGGCTCTCTTGGAACTCAGTATATAGAGTAGACTGGCCTCGAACTCAGACTGCCTGCTTCTGCCTCCCTGAGTGCTGGCATTAAGGTGCGTGCCACCATGCCCAGCGCAATTCTGTTTTTTTTCTTTTAGGTATGGGAAGGTATTCTCTGAGATAGTTTTGGTGTTAAATTCTCCTCTTTATTTCTTCTGAGCCATTTACCAAGCTCTCTGCAGTTGTAACTTTTTAAAAAATTACTTTATTTTATTTACATTGGTGTTTTGCCTCCATGTATGTCTGTGTGAGGTGTCAGATTTCCTGGAACTGGAGTCCCAGACGTTGTGAGCTGTCATGTGGGCGCTGGGATTTGAACCCAGGTCCTTTAGGAAGAGCAGCCAGTACTCCCAATCACTGAGCCACCTCTCCAGCCCCTGCAGTTGGAACTTCAAAAAGAAAGCACTAGTCGTTGGGAAGTAAAGCCTAGGATTTAAAAGGGGGTCATGTGTGTTTGGGGTGTGTGCGTGTGCTGGCTGTGTGACCGCTGACTGAACTGGGAGCTCTGGAAGGTACTGCTGGCTCCGCCTGTGGGAAACCGAAAGCCCTTCCTTTGGTGGTTCTGTGACCTAGCAGTTCTTTGACACTAACGAGCCGCCCACCGTTCTTTAATCAAGGAGAATAAACTTAACACCGTTAAAGGCAGATGACGTGCCAGCCCTGCCCCCTGCCAGCGGAGCTGCCCCCTCCACAGCTGGGCCTCAGCCAGGTAAGGGAGGGGTCGGACATGTGTTCCTGTGGCCGCTAACACCTCCTGGTTTGGGGTCAGCTCTGGGCGGTTGTTTGCCTTGCCAGGGAGTGAGGTGACCCTGCGCGCCAGGCAGGAGCTGCTTCTGGGGGCGGGCCTCCCCGTTTGAGGGCTGGCATTCGGGCAGGGGGTTATAACGTCCCTGGGGCCACCCCTCTTCTTTTTCTTTTGTTGTGTTTTGCCTGTGTGTATGGGGTCCCCTGGAACTGGAGTTACACGCAGTTCTGAGCTGCCATGTGGAGGCTGGGAATTGAACCAGGGTCCTTTGGCTTTTAACTGCGGAGCCATCTCTCCAGCCTCCACCGGATGCCCCCTCTTGCCTTGTTGCATGCTCAGCTGTCACAGACATTGCTTCTCTCTGGACACACTCACCTTGGCTGAGAGCCAGCCGTGTGGACGAATTCCTCATAGCAGTGCTGGATCTCACCAGGCCGTTGGCTCCTCGTCTTGCCTCTGTGTTTCACGTCACCCTGACTGACACAAGTCCTCGTTTCTTGCTAACCTTGTGTCTGCTGATGTTTCAGAGATGCCTGGAGAGCCCCGGGATGAGTCCCCCAAACTGAAAAGACCCAGAGTTGAGGAACATGAAGGGGACCCCCAAAGCCTGAGTCCTGATGAGGCTACCAAGTCTGCTTGAGGCCTGCTGGGGCATATGTGCACAGGAGCAAATCCCAAGATGCTGAGGCTGCTGTCGGTGATATTAGCGGAATAAACTCATGAATTGATTCCCATAGAGAGAACTGTGTGCTGACTTTGCTCTACCAGCCCATTCAGTCATTCCTCTCCATGGGGACTCTGTCTGCTGTGCTAGGCGAGGGCCTCTTTTTGATGAGTTTCTGAGACCAGGAAGCCTGATCCTTTATCCCTTGCTTGCCTTTGCACACTTTATACACTTGGATGCTGCCCAGCTGGTAGAGGACAGAGCCAGGAGAAAAGCCAGGGACCCACAAATGAGGGATTTAGGTGGAAGCATGCAGTGCTCCCCACGGCCACTGGAGGTCACTGTCCGCTGAATCTGCTTGATAGCTGTCCTGCTTGGCTAGAAGCCTGAGCTCAACCTGCCCTAATGGGCCAGTGCAGAGTGGCCTCACCTAGAGGGTGCCTGGGGGCAGCCCCACCCCTACCCGTCCACCCTGGAGTGCTGTTCCGGGGCAGCTGTGCTCAGAAAGCAAGATGAACTCAACCCACCTGGCTGGTGCCACCCGTTCACAATCGGGTTCTGTGGTGATCGGGCACAGTCGGCACACCTCCAGAGGCTCCCGGTGCCATGAGAGCCACCCTCTGGGACGGGGCAACTGGAGGGTACAGCACCGAAGGGCCAGTGGGACCTCTGACCTCAGTGATTCCCAGCGGACATCTAGGTGTAGCTGCCCGAGCGACTCCTGGCTCTCCAGAGACCAGAGCCAGTGGGAAGGGCGTGCCGAGCAGGGAAGTTGGTGGGCACACGCTGCTGCCGCTGCAGGCTCCTGCCCAGGTGGGGATCCGCCCTCAGCTGCTGAGCACTCCCACCACACCATGCAAGATGGACGGCTTACTCAGACTTTGGGAAATTAGCGGGTTAAGAACATTTGATGTTGGCTGGAGAGACGGCTCAGAGGTTAAGAGCACTGGCTGGCTCACAACCATCTGTAATGAGATCCGGTGCCCTCTTCTGGCCTACAGGTAGAGCACTAAAAATTAAAAAATAATAATAAATAAAATATATATATATACATACATACATATGTGTGCTTATGTGTATGTGTGTGTATATACACACACACACGTATGTGTATATGTATGTTTGAAGTGAGCTGGACACGGCACACTCCTGTAATCCTGGCACTTGGACAGGCAGAGGCAGGCGGATCTCTGTAAGGTCAGCCTGGTCTACAGAGTGAGTCCAGGACAGCCAAGGCTGCACAGAGAAACCCTGTCTCGAAACATACCCCCCCCCCATGAAAAGGAATATTTTGATGTGTATGAGTGTTTTGCCTGCATGTATGTGTGTGTACCACACAGGCGTCCAGGAAGGCTGGAAGAGGGTGTCTGATCCCCAGAACAGGAATTACAGGCAGTGGTGAGCTGCCTTGTGGGAAACTGGGAACTGAACCTGCGTCTTCTGCAAAAGCAGTAGGTGCTGTTAACCTCTGAACCATCACTCCAGCCTCCAGGGATTTAACTTAGTTGCATCTAAAAACTCTTCAAATCGACTCAGAAAATCCGCCACCAGCTCGGGAACCCTGGGAGCTGAGATCAAAGGCTGTGGCTCAGGGAGGCGAGCCGGCAAGATCAGTGCAGTGCAGCCTGCGGCTCACTGGCCTCCAGGTGCTGAGAACCCCCTCCGTGTAGATGTCGCTATGAGCAAACGCACAAGACCAAGAACGCGAGGGGGTCGGTCTGGCCCTGCTCAAGCCTCGCCCCTGCACGCAGCAGCGCAGGTGCTGAGCGGAGTGAGCCCCGCACAGCAGCCTGCGTGCTGCCCTGCACCCAAGTCAACTGCACTTCCCTTGGCCTTTTTGTCCAGGCTAAACATCCCTGGGGAGAGGGGCCCTTCAGACTTGCAAGCCGCCAAACCACCGCAGTTCTCCGGGTGGAGGAAACCATCTCCACAGCCCAGGAGACAGAGCCATGGAGCCACCTGGCGAGAGGCACAAAATGGTCTGTGCTCCATCGAAGCTATTTGTTCTAAGGCCAGCACTGGGTTTATCCGGGCCTTCTGTTTCCTGGCAGGTGAACAAATGGAAGAAATGGGCTTTCTTAGCCACAGACCCCGGTGAGATGCAGGCCTGCTGGGCAGATGTGCCGGCCCCAGCTGGGAGACTTGAGCCACCTCCACCCACGAGACACAGGCTGCCAGTCAGCTCCATCCTCCCCTTGGCTTCTGTGCCTCTGCTGAGCCACTGGGACCATGCAACTGTGGCTTTGGTTTTCAGGACGACAGGGTTCTCTCCACTGTGCTGGGCTAAGATAAAGGACTTGATGGAGCTGGGCGGAGAAGCCAGCCTTTGAGTATCCAGACTTCCTTTTGAGCAGGTGTTCCGAAGTCTGTTTGTGGCCAGCTCTATAAGCATGGGTGAACTGAAGGAGGTCAGGACAGGACCCTGGAGCAGGAGCTCATGCAGAGGCCATGGAGGGCTGCTCACTGGCTTGCTCCTCATGGCTTGCTCAACCTGCTTTCTTAGAGAACCCAGGACACCAGCTCAGGGACCACCATCCACAACGGGTGGGCCCTCCATCAGTCACTGAGAAAATGCTTGCAGCTGGATCTCCTGGAGGTGTTTTTAGAACTGAAGTTCCCTCCTCTCAGAGGCTCAGTGAGGCAGAGCGCAGCTGACTGCACGCCACTGTCACACCTCTGTTTGGCTCAGCCAAAGTCAAAGCTGTGTATAGCGGCTTCCACAGAGCACTTGCTTCTCAGGTCCCCTGTACTCCCAGGTCCTTTTATCTCTCCAGTCCTAGGTGGGTCCTGTGGCCTGGAGCCATTACTTTTCATTTGCCTTGAGTTCTCTGTATTAATCCCTTCTGGTCAGCATACAGAGCCAGAAACCAAGATCCGCTCTGCTCTCTCTCATACACATGCAAACAGACTCCCCCTCAAAACAGGCCAGTCTATTACAATTGCTGATGTAAATTCCAATAAAATATTAGAACGTAGGTCATATGCAAATATTTCAATGAAAATTAGTTTATTTTTTAAAATCACGAAGATTTCAATGGGTCAGAGAAAATTGGTACAACATTGCAAGAGCCCCTGCTGTTCCATGGACCTCCAACCAGCTCTCCTAATCGGAAGAAAGCAGCAGAGACGCCATTTTCCTTCTTGTCACTATTACTATTGGTGAGCTAGGATGTCTATGTAGCCGTGACTGACCTTGAGCCCTCAGAGGCCTGCCTGCCTCTGCCTCTCCAGTGAGCCACCAAGCCTGGCAAGAAGCCCTGTTTTAAAGCCCTTCTGTGGCGGTTATATCCTTCACAACTTGACGGTGTAGGATACAAACCTTTGGGCATGTCAGTAAGGGGCGCTGGGAGATGAAGAGGGTCTCTAACACGGGCATTCTGTGGGCCAGGGTCCTGGAGGTCGGGACAGATGGCTCAGTGAGCAGAGCACTTCCCACAGAAGCGAGGGGACTCCAGTTTGATCCCCAGGACCTACCTGGGTCTGACAGGGCAACATGATACAAACACGGATGAACAGGCCAGTGGAGTGCCGGCCCCTGTTGGTGGTGACACTGCACCGAATCCCACTGAAGCTTTCCTGTGACTGCGATGTGGCAAGGGCCCTCACTAGCCTCTGGCACCGTAATCTGCCGGGTGGATATCCGGCAGGTGGAGCTGGGAGGAGGGTCGGCCAGTCCAGCTGGACCTCCCCAGATGCCCCAGGGAATAAACCACCAAGCCGGGAGATCTCGGTCCTTTTTATAGGTTTGGATCAGGAGGCAGGATTAAGGAAGTGAGGTAAGATGATGTAGGGCGAGGTTAGGTAGCACAAGGAGAGGTGGGCCAGCGACAAAGTCCATGTAACAGTTACCAGGCAGGGTTGGTTTTAAGGCAGATTTGCTGAATCACTTTTGCTTGGAAGTGGCGCCTCTTAAATCAGAAGCTAAGGACAGGTCTCCAAACTCGAGCCAGGCTCAGGTCGATGCAGCAGGCCTTATGAGGCCCAACAGTAGTCAAGCTGTCAGGAACTCAAGCAAGTCTACTGTTACTTTAATCTTTTTCCTACAGCGGCCATAGTGCCCACTATCTGCCTGCGGTCTGCCCAGGGTGAGCTTCAAGGCCACTAGTTACCCTCTTACATACATTTGTTTCTCTTTCTTTCAATAGTTTTCTTTTTTTTTAATGTACATGTGCCTTTGTGTGTATGTGTGGGCATACATGTGCCAGGCTGTGTGGAGCTCAGAGGACGACTTGCAGGAGGTGGTTCTCTCCTTCCACCAGGTGGGTCCCGGGGATTGAACTCATGCCTTTAGGCTTGGCAGCAAACTTCCTTACCCACTGAGCTTTGCTTTTAATTGTATGTATTTGCATTCCCCTCACCTTCCTTATTTTAAAGATTTATTTGTTTGTACAGTGTTCTGTCTGCATGTATACCTGAACGCCAGGAGGGGGCACCAGATCATGTGGTTGTTGGGAATTGAACTCAGGACCTTTGGAAGAGCAGCCGGTGCTCTTAACCTCTGAGCCATCTCTCCAGCCCTCCCTTACCTTCCTTTTAAACACTGGTCTTTTTACTCTCTGCTTCCTCCTTCAGAGAGTAACGAATGATCTTGGGTTCGTTATCATTCTTCCCTGCCTATGTTTTTCTCCTAGAATCCTTACTATGTAGTCCTGGAAGCGTTTGCTGATGATCAGCCCTTTGCCTCGGCCGTGGCCCTCTTCAGTAGGTATGACACAGTAACCTTGCCAGTGGAACTTCCCAGATAGGCTGTCACTATAGTTTGATTTCATCTTTAAAATAATAATAATAAAAAAAGATGAGATTTTTGTTTTTACATTTCCAAAATGTTGAGCATAACCTCTTTTTTGCGTCAGCATTACTAGTTTTAGTTCTTTCAGGCTGTGCCTGTAGCGTGGCGCTTCTCAGAATTTGTGATCTGGGGTCTAGAGGGAGGGCTGAGCAGTTAAAACAAGCAGTGTTCTTGCAGAGGGCCTGAGTTCCATCCCTAGCACCCACACCAAGCACCTCACAACTTCCTGTAACTTCAGCTCCAGAGGATCTAATGCCCCATCCTGGCCTCTGCACACATCTGACATACCCCACTCCCCACATATATAATATTAAAAATAGATCTTTACTCTGTGAGTTTGAGGCCAGCCTGGTTTACAAAGCAAGTCCAGGACAGCCAAGGCTACACAGAGAAACCATCTCAAAAACCAAACCAAAACAAACCCACAAAGCTTTAAAGAAGACCTTACCCTGTCTGCCTCAGGCTTGGCCTTATCTGTTGTCCAGCCACGGAGATGTCAGAGGCCTCCTCTCCTGCTCCTGTAGGCCTAGTCACTACTAAGCCAAGGGGTTTTAAGCTGTGAACTAAGTCACACATAAAATAGAAGAGCCGTATGTTCAAAGGCCCCCCATGATGGCATTCTACCCAGCACAAAGCCATATTTTCAGCTGTGATGTGAATAAAAATGTAACCAAGATGTCGTTCGTGGGCTGACGGGGAAAATGGGCCTTTGCTGGGTGAGCTATGAGGAGAACAGAGCTGAGCAAAACCTATCCTGGGCGTTAAGTGTCCAGCATACAGGCTCCTGAGGATACACCCGCATCCCTGCCTCCCAGGGACACGGGAACACGCAGCGAGCAGAATCGCCACGTCAGGGATGACCCAGTCATCCCACCAAACACCATAA